GAATGAGTGGGGTACTCATTCTTCATACGTCACTGCGAAGAGCTTAGGACAAGGTGGGAAGTCACAGCATTTGGACGCCAAGCGTTTCATAGAGATATATCTCAGCTCCCTTGCTGGGACCGGCGTCGTCGAACGGTGGATTGGGGAGAAAAGGTCATTGCTGGCTGGCCGTTCTACGCTGCATGTCCGCTCCATCGCGGCTTCTTTGAAACTTGTGGTCCAGGATTTGAAAGGAAGACGTCGTGATCGCCTGAGCCCGAACGCTCTGCTCTGCAAGCCCGCTGCCGCCCGAGCATCTGGAGGAGGGGCGCCGGTTCTCTTTCCGCCCACACCGTTCCTTTTAAGAGCGCAGCGCACTTACGCGACCTGGTTTGGCGAGAAGGCGAGCAAGGCTCGCGATGTTCGCCCAGCATCTTTCTCAGAACAGGTGTTGGCCCGCGCAAAGGCTGCCAAGCCCCGCTTGGAGAGCACACGGCAGCGAAGCCAAAATTCAGAGACGGCGTGGCTCGAATCGCATGCTGGTGCGTGCAAGGCTGCTGTTGCTGCCTTGTCAACTGTGGATTCTCACGCTGAGGGGGTGCTGGGCAATCGCGTTGTCAACCCCATGCAATCTGGCGGATGGCAACAGAAAACGGCTCATGAGCGAAGCTGCTGACGAGACCTGGGAAGTGCAGCAGGAGAAGAAGCAGAAACAAAGTGCTTCTGCAAATGCCCGGTCCAATCAGAAGCAGACTGCTGCTAATGCATCCGGTCACGGGAGACCTCCAGAGCCCTCTGGTGACGCAACTGGCAGCAGCGGTACAACACGCACCCAAGTCCGCATTTGGCAATCTGAAGTTGGTCGTTCCAGTCCCAGTCCCAGGTTTCAAAAAAATAGTCCCACCCAGATAACATCAAAATCCAGATTATGCTGCAATCAGGTACAACCCTGGACGAGCAGATGGGTATCGACTGGAGCACCGCTGACAAAGCGATTGAGCAGCAACAGGCGGTGGCCCAAAAGCGACGGCAAACTCAAGCGATGTCTGCACGCACTGGACCAACCCCCTTCGTTGATTCCAAGGGCGGATTGATGCGGGCCAAGCCTGTGACTTTGCCAGCGGCGAAGACGTGCCCTCCCTTACCCAGGAAGTTCAAGCTGCTTTCTGAGTCAGACCAGGTGCTGCTTGCTGTCCAGGCCCGACGGGACAAGCCTTGGCCTGTCGATACTTCGTTCGAGCGGGTTCCGAGGCTTGGTGTGCGTGCTGATATGGTGTTGGTTGGTTCAGTTCTTGGAGACTACGACAGCGCGGCAGCCCTACAAGCCCGCTTGGATGGAGCACGACTTGCTGATAAGACTGGGCGAGTTTTGCGCTTCCGCCCTGGAATGGAGCTATGCCATTCTGTGATCTACATGAGTCAGTCTTTCCGCGATGCATATCCGAAACATGTCCGAGTGCTGCACGCTTGTGCGGCTCGTGCCCCGTCCATTGGCAAGGATAAGAATCCTCGCCTGGACGTTCGTCTTGGACTGCCGGGTGCGGATGAGCGGCTGAAATTCCCTGCTAACACATTTCATCTTGGCTTGTCCACAGAAGTTTCAGAAGAATGCCAGCGGCTGGACATGAAAGGCAATGAAGTCGAAGTCCAGACGATTGATTTAGCTGGCCTCTTTCGAATGTATGCCTCCTGCTACGAGTCGTAACACGTGCAATGCTATCAGAATCAAAGTGAACCATCAAGGCTCATGGTCCATGCTTTGCTTCTGCACGTGTGCATCGAGTAGGCCGCTTGCCGTGTAGCTTCGTCGTGAGGGCCATGCAAAATGTGGCGATCTGCAGCAAGCAGGGCAGGAATCAGAGTCATTTGCTGGCAATGGGAGAGCACTTGCAGTCTTAGTAGTGGCTGTTAAGTTGTGCATGTTGTGTCCCAGTTCCAAGGTCGATCTTTCGGCTGTCCAGCTGGATGGTGTTGTGCCCTTGGTTGAAACATGTCTTTCAAGCGGTCTCCTCCCTTCGTGCGGCTGAACGCTTGCAGTGTGTGCGAAGCTGTCATTGCAATTATTGTGAAGTCTGTCTGAACTGTGGTGGCCTGCACGACAGGACTGCATGCTCACTTCTATGATTTGTTGCTTCCTGTCTCTGGTTCTGAGGCGGTGCGTCCCTTGCCAGGCCGTGAGGTGCGCCCCTCGCTCATAATTGAACATGTCCTGCACCAGCTTCTGCGATGATCGTCTGACTGATTCCGATTCGTAATTCCATCGTGACTGCAGCCACGACAGCTGCTTGCAAGCGAGTTGCTGAATTGAAAGTTAGTTTTGTTCATCGCTGGCAATCTGAACTTGTAAGAATCTTGATAGCCTCTGGTACTGCAGCCATGGCACTGGTTCCTGTCAAGAAAGAGCCGGGGCTCTTGAAAGTGAAATGTGAGCTTCGAGGTCACCCTGATGCAGTGGTTTCTGTGGATGTGGAAGCCGAAGCGGCCAAAACTCTGAAGAAACTCAAACAGAGGGAGTATGAGAACAATCGAAAGAACAAGCATCGATCCAGGAGACTCTGTGTACGTGCATTGCATAATGTTGCGGCTGCTGTGTAATTAGGAGACAATGTCTTCCTGTCCGATTGCTGTGTAGGAAAGATGGTGCCATGATAACAAGCTTGATTCTTTGCTGCACTTTGGCATAGCGGGGCCATGTGGTAGTGAAATGTGGCATACAGCTGCTGTTTTACTCCTACATACTTGCTCGCACATGGTGTGAGTGCGTGTGCGCGCGTGTGTCTGCCTGTGTGTGATGTAAGGGAAGAGAAAGTTCGCGAGCTCGAGTTGCTCGGCGGCATGCCAATGATGCTTTCCAATTTCGAGTGATAGAGGGCAGTCTCTTTTCAGCCTCATTCGCACGATACTTCAAGGGCCAAGATCGATGCACTTCGTGGCGTGGAGGCGGTGAATGCTGAGCTCAATCAGAAAAATGCTCTCCAGACTCATTGCTGAATTTTAGACGGTTGTGGCCAAGGCTCCAGATCTCAATTGAATGTCTTAACGAGTAAGTCCTAAGGAAAGCCCTCATTGATCGCTTGGGGGAAGAAGTGGAGAGGCTGTCCGCGACCCGTAAACGACCAGTTCTCAGACTGGTGTGAGCTTGCTGATGCGTGGCATGTGTGGCCAGATATGCCACCAGGGAGATGGACAGAGCATTTCCACAGTTGCTGTCCGAGTTTTTTTCTTGAGTTGGGGGCATAAGCATTGATCTGCTTTTTTCTTGGGGTGGGGGCATAAGCATTGATCTGCCATTGCAGCGGACAATGTCTGTTTCACAATGCTTTCAGGATTGGCAAGTACAGACTCAGAAACAAAGCAACTGCTTCCTTTGTGTGCCGTCTTTGATCGTGAGCGGTTTTATTGCCAGCCTTAAAGTTTGCAGCGGCCAGGTCTACCGATTGCCTCTTTGCCGTGGGCAAGGCACTGCTCAGGGTAGTTTCAACGCAGATCGAACATGCCAGTGGTTGCAATTGCACAGTTGCCACACATTTCAAGATATGTGCTGGTTGTTCTCAACCGCTGTGCAGACGCCTGGTCGCACTACCCTACGAGACGGTGCACCCCGCTGTGCGCGTGTGACCTGTGTGTCGGGCTGGGAGGTTCACGAATTCAAGAATGCAATCTCTTCTTCTGCAGGCGTAGGTTAGGTCTGTCGTAATAGTACCTTAAATAGCGGCTCAGATTTGCCATGTGTGCCATCCTTGAACTCTGGGTTTTCGGATTGTGGGCAAATCCTGCCACAGAGTTGACAGATGTCTTTGAACTCTGGGGCGAGTGGGTTTCGGATTCATTGGTATATGCCCGGTTCTGCCACAGAGTTTCCGCCCCCAGAGTTGACTGATGTCTGTCGTCTTTTGGCCAAACCGTGGCCCCCCAGAGTTGAAAGACATCTGTCAACTCTGTGGCTCAAAACACTATACAGCTTATTTTTCAGAGTTGGGCCGACTGCTCCCGGGGTGTTCAGAATGAGCAAGCGGGCAGCTGCAGACCCACAGGGTCGTGTGAGTGGCAAGCAAAGCAAGCTGTCGGACGAACTCCGGAATCATCCTTGTGTGAAGTTTGTACAATCAGCCATCAACTTCCTCGCCGACGAGTTCAAGGACGGGACATTAAATTTAGATCACTGCGATTTTCGCACTGCATTGATGCAGTGACAACTGACGGTTGCGACTTCACGTGACAGGGGTTCCATTTCCACCCAGCAGGAAGTGGCCGGCCTGGATCCAATAGCGGCTGCCGGAGTGCAGGCGTTTGATGCTGATGAATACCTTCGGTGGATGAAGAAGAGTTCCTCATACGAATGCAACGTGACCATCCGTAGCTTCGACCCTCTCCGGTTCGCTCATGCGACTATACCACCTGCCTTAGGACCGTCCACATGACATCATAATCAGTGTAAGCTTGAGCTTCAGCTTAAACAGGTTGTCATGTCCCGGGTCAGGAGCTGTTCGCACCCTTGCCGAAAACCGCTACCGCACCACGGATGAGAACGGCAAACACCTGTGGTCGGCGGGTGGTGCTCTTGAAGTGATCTCAGTGCGCGGCTCCAAGTCGCTGCCCGACCTCACCAATTTGACGCCTCTCCACCGCGATCCCGATCGAACCGCTTTCATTTTTGCTTGGTTTCACGCGAAAGAAGCTGTGAACAACGGACAGCAGGATGCCGAGACCTTGAAAGGCTTCGTGCATCAGGCCCGCTGCATCCGAGCATCCGGTCCGCAAGCAGCGGTACTCGCAGATGTTGGGGGTCGGTTTTTCCAAGCTGTGATCATGGCCGTTTCAGGTCAAGTTCGTGGATCTGGCCACAGATGACGAGACTGAGCACAAGAAGTTCGAGCTTGCTCAAGAGATCAAGGATGAAGTGGATGTTTTGGTGTTGCAGGGTTTTCGCCAGATGAAGGCACTGGCGTACGTGAGGGACTTCTTGAAGCAGCAGGGCAAGGGAAGCAGTGATCAGGATATGGAGAAGTGGTCACTTGATTTCGGTTTGTGACCTGTTTTGCGTGATCTGTCGGACTGAAAGCCTCGATCATGATTTTAATACATAACAGAGATAATACTAAGTATATATGTATGTATGTGTGTATATATGTATGTATGTATGCATGCATGTGTGCGTATGTGTGTGTGAGCATGCGTGTGTGTGTGTGCGTGTGTGTATGTGTATGTCTAGTGTATATGTACGCATGCATGTATGTACTTAAGTACATATCTGTATGTATGGACCTTTATGTATGTGTGTGTACGTATGTACCCATGTATGTACTTACGTGCGAATGTATGTATGTGTGTATGTATGCATGTATGTATGTATGCATGTATGTAGTATGTACGTATGTATCTATGTATCTATGTATCTATGTATGTATGTATGTATGTATGTATGTATGTATGTATGTATGTATGGATGTATGCGTGTATGCGTGTATGTGTGTGTATGTGCTGCAATGCCCCTGTACAGACGAATAACTCCAGTCTCAACATACTTGGTATGTTTGCTCCATCAGGTTCGGGAAGAGATTGGGCTTGAAGGCCACGAAGATCAAGAATTCTCTCCGTGTTTTCGACAGAATCAGCGAGGTTCCTGGTGCAGAGCTGTTGATCGGACAATTGGATGAAAAGTTTGGTAATCGTCACTGCTTCAATCACTTCATGTCCTTCGACCTGTTGTGTGCGAAAACAGCACTGCCGAAAAACCTTCCTCTGCAGCGATCGCTTCTCCTTTGGGTCTTGGAGCCCTTCAGTGTGCAAAGTAGTCCATTTTCAAGTCAGGCTCTCCAAGTAATTAAATCAGAGTTGTGCGGTTAATTCCATGTCTCTTAGAGAGCCGGCTTTCAGGCTCATTGTCCAGGACATGCTGAATGATCGCTGTGATCCGAAGATGAACAAGGAACAGGTGACCCAAGCGATTGCAAGGGCTCTTCTCAAAAGGAGGATTACCAACCTTTTGACTGCAAGGCTTCGGGGCATTGACCTGCCGGACGAGACGTACATGCCTGGCTACGCACCATCACAGGTCTTCGGCACACTCTTTTCCAGCATCGTAGCTTTCCGTGCCTCCCAGTTGCACGAGACAACCTACATGGTGTTGCCGTGGGTGAGACAGCTTCCATCCTGGCAGGTCGATGCTGTGCAGTTCGCGGCCAAGCTCCTTCGAGGAAGCAATGCAGTGGACAAGAAGCTGGACGCGGCTTTGGCCTTGGATCCTCTCATCCCGGCAGAGACGCTTTTCCAGATGCAGGAATGGCAAAAATCACAGCTTTTCGATTTCAAAGAGATCTTGGACCAGCGCAAGGCTGCAATGGAGCCGCCTTCGCCCAAGCTTGAAGTCCCCAAGCCGGAGCCTGAGCCGGCGAAGCCTGATCCGGCTCCGCCAGTTCCTGAGGAAACCCCTGACGAACCGGAGACAATGCCCCATGTCATGGCAGAGGTGCCTGAAGAGGAGGTCCCATCGGGACCTGCGCCGATGAACCGGCTCAAATTCTTCAGTCTGTTGGACATCCCCTCGGACATTGCTTCGACCCTGCAGGGTGGGGATGACTACTACTTCGAGCAGGTGCTGGATTGGGCGAGGGTGAAGGTGAACACGTTCGTGGAGATGGAGGTGAAAAGCCCCACGGCCGAAGGGAAGCGAAACCAAGTGGCAGCCTTGTACTCGCGGAACGGTGGGACCCCCTTGTTCATCATCTACGACGTCAAGTGCCGCCTCCACATCAAAGACGACCTGTTGGTCAACCCATGGCGGCGCCCGACACCGCTCAATGCGACCGAATTCAAGCAATGGCTTGCAGCTTTCTGGTTGGACACGAAAGTGACACTTTCCAGCGACACAGTTTGTTGGTGAAGTTTCGTAGTTGTGTACGCAAGTTGAGGGTGGCGATAATGCTCTAGGTATAATACAGATTAGCATAAGAGCTCACTTCAGGGCTGCATCGGGCCCTCCTCTCTTCCGATCGAAAGATGTCTTCGTGGCCATGGACGGCAGATCCCCAACCAATTCAGATGCCATGCAGAAGCATTTGGTGTCTGTGCTGAAGAGTGTGGACAACATGCCAAGCGTCTCTTGACGGTGCTTCGGCGAGCTTACACCAATAGCGAATTTGGTGTTGGGGGGTATGCAGCACCAAAGAGAAGGAGTAGCTTGAATCCGCAAGCTCCAGACCCTCTTGAGAATGCATTCATCATCGTGACGAAAGACTTCGTCCTGAAGCACAGGGACTCCTCCATGCCAACGGTTGTCAGCGACAATTACAGCCGTGGTTGGCAAGCCATGGACATGAAATCCAGAATTGATCATGACTTTGCGACGGTCGCCCCGGCTGTCTATGAATGTCTCATGAAGAAGGCCAGTGTTACTGCTGACGACAGTGCTGAGACAACAAATACGGAGGAAGGGAGGTCCTTGATGGACTCGGATGAGCCTCAGCCGCCGCCGGCAACAGCTGCCGGAGCAGCCGAGGACGAGGCGGCTGCGAAGTCCAAGCAGACTTTCCCCATCGCACCGTGGGAAAACAGCGAGCAGCACAGCCAGCTGCTTGTTGATCTTTACAAGTATGAGCCGGCCAATGCTTTGATCAAGACACAGCCGCGTGTTGTCTCGATTGAGCCCTCCATATCCCTCGCGACTGCATGCTGCCGAAAGCACATTTGCGTCACCATGTTTGTGGAGTCGGAGCGTCACAAAGAGGCTGTATTTCAGTCTCTCATCATGCGGATCAGCTACGAGATCATGTCAGGCCGTGCGGATGGGTTTGTGATGAGGAAAAGGCTTCTGACACGTGAGAACTCCTTGTCTGGCTCTGAATCCCAACGGCCGCCACTTCCTTCCCCAAGTGCGGTTTCAGTCGACCCGTCGCAAGAGGCTCAGGACTCCGTCGCCGATGGCAGCGCAGAGGACGTCGATGCTATGCTTGATTCCTTCAAGGAAGACGAAGAAGAGTTCTAGCTTTGCGGGTAGAAAGTACAAAGATTCTGCATTGCGGGTGTTTTCCCACGGAGCACACGCTTCGAGTTTTGATTACCGCACAAGCACAGCGAAGCACCGGCGGCCCGCAGCTGCAGGGAACTTAGGATTTACTATACCTTTAAACAAGTCTCTGGGGTTGTGCAGTGTTGCGGGGCATGCCGTGCTTCAATAATCGTTTGGGCCCGCGTGGCCGCTGCCCATGGCCTGGAGGGCCGAGTGACATGCGTAGGGGAAAGCCTTGCGCATGGCGTTGGCAGAACGAGTGTGGGTTCAGGGAACACGCTGCCGCTGCTAGTTTGAGACGGAAGGTTGACTGATTGCTGTTGACGGAGATTGTCCTGACTGCCAGGCCGTTGCGCTGGCATCCCGGATTGCGCCAGGGCCCCTGGTCTTATCACCGTTGCGCTGGGGATTTAAGTACATCGTGGCTTTACTTTCAGGTTCTTGGGCTTGAGTTGTGGGCTGAGACAGCCGTGTGACGTTGAGTCAGCATTTTAGTAATTAACTATCTATATATATATATATACTTATTTATTTATTAGACTGTAGGACGCTGAGTCAACGTTTAGTTTAGTATGGGGTCTTAGTTAAATTTGGCTTTGGGTTTGAGGCCGAGTCGGCCTCAGGAGGCTGAGTCAGCTTTTACTTTGCGGTTGGGGATATTGGGCTGAGTCAGCCCTGATTTTTTGTTTTCGGAAATGGAGGAATTTGGGCTGAGTCAATTGTGCTCCAAATCCTCCTTCGAGAAGTCAACCTCAATCGACTCGGGCCAGCTGCGCTGCATTATACTGTAGTTCTCGCATGGAAGCCATCAGATCGTGCCTTGCAGCAGATTCGTGACTCAAGCAAGTCTTCATGTGTTTCGCAGGCAGGCCAGTAGGCGATTGAATGATGTTGAAAGTCGCTCAGGCCAGCTATCTTGCAGCATCCGTGGTTGGCCAGGGTCCGAGACATCATCAACTTGATGTGCCGCATGATAATTTTGGAAGAATGAAGGAGGTCTGGAACATTGCTTTGTGTGTGTGTGTGTGCATGAACAGGGGTTCTTGGTCGAACTTGCAGATGCTAGGTGGTGAGCAGGGTTCAGGGCGGCAGTGCTTGCGATTGAACGCATGGGTTCAGGTCGATTGTCTGCCAGAGACCGGGGTTGGCCACAGCCACAGAGCTTGCTCATTGGGTTGAAAGGATTCCGTCGATTGAATCTGAATATGCTGGGTCTAAACTGAATATTGCTCGCCCATGCACTCGTATGCCTTAGCCGGTCTCGTGGTCGACAGTGCAGGTGTTAGTGTGATTGAGAGACAGTCAACATGGCGGCAGCTGCAGCCATTTAATGTGTCGCGATTCGGCCCGTCCGACCAGGCCGATTATCATCTGCAGGCGTCCGAGTCCGAGGTGGGCCAGAGTCTCAGATCCTATAGACTTTTCGTTTGGCCCTCGTGGTATAGGACGGAGTTGCGTGTCGAATATAAGTTGAGCGAAGCAGGGCTCTGGGTCGGAGTTCCACGCTGTGAAATCGTGCAATTCGATATGTCGCACCACGCCCGTTGCCTGGAGGTGTCGAGCTTTGGCCGGGCTCCGAGAGTTAGCTGCGTCTGCTCAGCTCAGTGATTTGCGGTGGGCAGCTGGAGGGTTCTGGATGGAACGAGCTGGCTGTGTTTTTTGTCCGTGTTGCGCACTTACTCTGAATGTTTGTAGATTTGAAAAGGTTTGTGACAGGCCTGTCCCATTTCGTGGGCATGTGGTTTGTCATCTAGGCCCTTGCGTTTGCTGCGCATGTCCTGCCTTAGGTGACCGCGCTAGTGGATGTAACCTGACGACAGTTGGTGAAAAAAGGTTAGCTATTTAGTAACATTGGTCACATTATCATTTCGGCATGGGCAGCACGTTAGTTCAATCTAGGAATCAAGATGGAGGTGTGCATGCACTAGTTGGGCACTTGCGTGTGCCATGTTCAACCCAGGGCACCGCTGGTTCGTGTCTGTGGGAGTAGCCAGACAGAGCTCCACACGTGGGTAGTCTGGGTCACTGAGTCATAATGAGTAGGGTAACGGTACAAGCGTTGCCTGTGTGTAACTGTTAGTTGCAGTCGTGGTGCAAGTTGGGCATCAGGTGCAGTAGTCGGCCAGCTTGAGCCTATCAGAAGTTGCATTATTATTTGGGCTTATAGCAAGAAACTCAGCCTAAGACCCTCCTGCTTCAGGCTATCCGGCCAAATGGAGGGCCATGGGCTGAGCCGGAATCGCGTGTGGGCAGTCCAGAACACAGAGTTTGGTGATTGTCCGCTTACAGTATAGACAGATTGCCACGCCAAGTATACACTACGTAGTGAGAACCAGAAGTTCACTCCGCAATCATAGTGAAATCGTTCCTCAGTCTTCATGTTGGCATGCTGATCGGTTTCCTGGGCGCTGGGATTTTACTGGCAGTGTTCACCGACCTTTCGAACAGAGCACGCGTTGATTGATCCATATTTTCGAAGAGTACCCCGTGCATACGCCTGGCCTCGGCAGTCTCAAGAGTTTTTGTTTGGTCAATGCGGTTCCGAGAATGTTGCGGATCAGTGTTCGAAATTTCAATGTAGCATAGGGTCGTGTAGTTGTGGAGATGTACGAGTTCCGAGGGGCACATTGGTAGAGACTTTGCTGTGCTGCTGTCGTGAAGTAGCAGATTCGAACTTTTAATTTTGGGCAGCATGGGCAAGACGGCGAAGTCTGGCCAACCGAAAAGCAAGGCCAAAGCGAAGGCCACCTCGAAGCAAACGACCAAGGAGGAGAAGAAGACCCGAGCGCCCAAGGAAATTAAGATCCCGGAGACTACCATGGAGAAGTTCGACTTCCTTGCTTTGGCACGGTCAATGGCGACTGAGATCAAGGACTGTGGGCAGCAGGGCGTCCGGGAGTCGAAGCTCGTCTGGGCCAGTGGTTGCGATGGCTTGAATACCATTGCCGGTGTTCTGACGGCGTTGAAGATCCCGAACCACCAGTTGTACGGCTCGGAGAAAGCATCGGCGCCTGCTGTGTTTTCCTTGAAGCGGTTCCAGCCAGGCCACCTTTATCAGGACTCGAACGACAGGGATTGACTTTGAGATATCGCTTTACATTTCAGGTTTGCCATGAGGGATCAACACTGTGATAGAAAGAAACCATGTTTTGATCAGGACATACGCGCAAGCAGTGAGGCCGACGGCGGTGTCATCTGCCTACGTCACGGCAGACGGTGCCGGCTCCCGGTGGATGAGGAGCCTGCCTTATTCGCGGCAGGCTTCTCCTGTAAGAACAATTCCATCCTGAATCCCGCTCGATTCGGGTCGAGTCCACTCCGGCCAGAATGCGAATCCGCGATCACGTTTGACGGCGCCGTCTTGTCCATCGCACATGTGCGGCCCCGCTTCTTCGTGCTTGAAAATGTGAACGGAGCGAGGCGTTCGTCTTCAAAACATGTCTTCATGATCTTGCGAGTGTAGCTTTAATTAGTTTTCAAACGCAGCGCAGTCTGAGCCATGCTCTGTGCAGGATGCCGACCGGGGCAGGAGCCAGTGCCAGTGACTCCAAGAAATCCCCTTTGGATTCCTACCTGGAGAAGCTCGGGACACGGCTGCCGGAGTATTCTGTTACGGCGGTGATGGCAGATGCAGCTCCTCTTCCGGAACGCCGCGAAAGAGTTTTCATCTTGGGAAGTCGCACCACGGATCTGGATGCAACGGCCTGGGCAGCAGCCGTCGAATGCCTTCAGCGCTTTTCTGCTGGAAAGCCGAAGCATCATGTGCAGACCTTGCTGAGCCTTGGGGACCCTGCAGCGCGCGATGGTGCTCAGGCAGCGGCGAATCGACCGCTGAAGTGGATGTCAGAATACAGCAGCTGCCTGTCCACTGCTTTGGCGACGCTTTCGGATAAGGGTGTCATGACGGACGTGACAGAGGAGACTGTGAAGGCCGCCGGCAAGCGCATCTCCGACCTCTACCCCGACGTTCTGAAGACCACACCTCGGATTGCTGCGACAGCGGACGGCAATGAGATCTTGATCGATTCGATGTGCAAAGCTGCTGAGGCACAGGGAGCGCCCCCGAGCGTGCCAAAGTTGGCAGATTTGTCGCAGTCCGTGGGGCGAGGCAGTGTTTGGATCCATGGAACGATTGGTACTCTCACGACCTCCACGAACTACTTCTCCTATGACCACGGCCGCTTCGTGGATCCGGAGGATCATTTGAGGATCTTGGGATGGGATGAAGAGTCGATCAAGTTGGCATCCGAATGCTTGTCAAAGGCAGAACTCCAAGAAGCTGCAGGCAACGGAATGAGCTGGGCCGCTGTTCTGAAAGTGCTGCTTCCCATGCTGATGCGCATGGGTTTTTTGTCCGATCTCTTGAAATGAATGGAGGTCGAGTCTGCTCAAGCAGTGAAGTTTTGAAGCCATCGCCGAGGAGCCACGAGTTAAAGGGTTTGTGCACTCAACACCTGCCAGCCACCGCAAGCTCGGTCCAACGGTGTAAGCAAATAAAGCCTGGGACTAAAACAATTCTCCGAGGTGCGGTGCCGGTGGCGATGCCCGAGCCCTGAGCTGCTGTGACCGACGTGCACCTGCTGTTTCTCAGAGACTGAGACTCGTCGAGAGGTTCTGTGCCACTTAAGTCATGCAGCCTCATCTCATGTGACAGCATGTCGCTGTAGCAGGGGGCTCAAGTTGCAAAATGTGGTTGCTGGCAGTGAAGCTCTTGACGATCGATGCTGCCACAGTTGATGGACCATTCTCAATGCTTTAGAAGCACAGGAGCCATTCCGATTCCGGAAGCTGTACAGTATAGCCGTAAAGATTCAGGGCTCTAGGCAGTGTTAAACAAAATACAAGAGATGGTAATGGAGACATTTATCAAACGGCATTGTTGTGAAGTGTTAATCATACTGTCAGGCAGTCCCCGCGCCTCGATTTCTGTTCGTAGCGTCATGGAGATCCTGTGGTACGGCAGTTCAGTCAGCGTGCTGCAGCTTCTTGATCCGTCTGCGAACGTTACAGTTTTGGCAAAGAGCAAGGAGGAAGCACTGGTGGTGGGTAGGATTCGTTATGGGGATTCCTTTCCCAAGGTCTTCAACCTCGCATGCACTGAGGAAGGCGAAGCAACAAGGCTGCCGCAGCTGCAAAGCAGTAAGGTTGCAATCGCGGCATGCGTGCAGAACGAGACGGATATGGCAACGGTGATTGACATGGCTTCAAGGCTGGACAAGATCTTTGCTGTTGTCATTGCTGGCCCGATGGTCCCGGACGTCATTGCGCATGGCGAGATGACGAGCTGGAGCTTCAACACTAAGGATGTGTTGTGGGAGCTGGTGGGGTCAGCTTTCGCAGGCAAGACGTCTTTCATTGCCATGGTTCGCAAGGCCGACAGAGCTGAAAAGCTCCAGCAGCTGCTTGAGAAGTCATCGAAGGATCACGTCGGTTACGAGAACTCCGTCTACACTCCTCAGCCTCAGAGTCCCTCGTCCACATTAACCCCTGTCGTGCAGGAGCCGGGGGCCAATGCCGGCAAACGGCGCTTCATTGAGGATGCATTGACCGAGTTGAGAGGGACTGGGGATGGCCTGCGCAGGCCCTTGTTCATCGAGGGCGAAAAGACCAAGCGCCAATGCATGATGAAGCCTCCGCTCTGCAACCGGCGCAGCGCAGTTTTGATGCGACATGAGTCGCTTGATTTCCTTCTGGGCCCCCACGAGTTTGCTTGCTACCTTGGATGGCGAGAGCATCCCTTGAACATGACTTTGCTCCCCAATGCTACGGCCCAGCAAATCTTGGGGCAGAGTCTTTCGAAGGGCGTCGCGAGCATCATGTTGGCAGTTTTGAATGGCGTCATGGGTGCCTGGGAGAAGTTATTACAATTCAAGTATTTCTAATTATAGGCACTCAATTCTCAGATGAGTCAATAAGGGTAATTCACCGAGAAAGGTTCGTACGGTTGATGGTTTGATACGATAATGAGTATTCATAGTTTTGCTTTGTCCTGTGCCCAAGCCTCCTTAGAATCCGAAGTCCTATGAACTGAAACACATACTGTGTGACAACCTTGCCCGCCCTATCTCAGGTAGAAACCCAGGACCAGGAAGCACAGGAAACACCGTCAAGTGAGCATGCGATCCTTCGGATGGAATTTTTGAGGAAGCCTGGGCTTCTAGTTTTGATAGCCGCAAGAGCACAGCGAAGTATCAGTGGCCCGCACCTTCAGCACAGAGTAAACTTAAACAAGGCCTCAATCGAATTCTAGCAGCTTCGCAGGGCTTTGCGGGACGTATTGCGGTGCTCCCTGAATCTTGCTCTTGGGCCGGTGCTGCCGAAGGGCCTGGAGGGCCTGAGTGTAGACAGCCTTGCGCATCACACCGGCAAAACGAGTGTGGGTTCGGATCTCAGTGCTGGCTCGTGAAGGTGTTTTCTGCCTCGGCTAGTGCCTCCGACGTTGAAGCCTCGAACTTACGCAAACTCCAACACCAACCCGAAGCTAAACCGGCCATTGCAACACCATGTGGTAGTTGGGAATTCCGATCGTTGAAAGCACTTCCTGCAATTATAAACCAGGATTCAAGAAAGCCTCACTCCGTTAGTATGAGGCTACAGATGAGACGTGATGACTTTCTCGGCACGTTGTCTCTTCGAGGACGGGCCCCACTCACTTGGCTAGTTGTCTTGAATAGCGGAGCACCTTCACCTCGTGATTTGGATTTTGAGCTACCAGCACCGAAGGAGACTTCATCGACATGGAGTCGGAGGGCGAATGAATTGCACTCCGTTTGTGTGCTCGCATCACGATAATAGCCATAAGGAGCCAGAAAGACACATGGATAAGTTACTTTCGAGATATAGCCATTGTTATAGTTCGGTTTTGGGGAGTTTGAGCAAGCCCATGTGATCGGTATATGGACCTCTGGTGCCTGGAAAAGAAAGCTCATTGCTGCCGGGGGAGCAACACATACGAAGCGGTATGATAAACCCAGCAAAAATTATAATTTTTGCTGGCTGTCAAAGTTCAGTCAAGTATTCTGTACTTACATTACATGCTTTTTCTCCAACAAAGCCGAATAAACCCCTACAAGAACTAGTAGAACACACACACACACACACACACACACACACACACAGCAGCCCTAAATCAACTGTCCAGGCCCTTCTGCTACGCTAAATCCTAAACCATGACTCCACCACAGCCGTAACGAGGTGCTTCCTACCTTCGGCAGCGACGGCGTCGTGCTGCCATCGAGGCGCAAACAGCGAGGCAGGAAACTGCCTGCAACGCGATGTTAAATGGACTCTGCAGCTGGGATGAAGCTAAGCTAAAACCTTTAAGTAGTTGGGAGATATTATAGTATAATTGCGAAAGAGAAACTGTAAGAATAATGTTGGCAACTACTCGGCTTCTTCTATATGCGGTCGGTGGAATCCCAAAGAAGAGTCCTCGTGTAAAGGATCCTTCATCCTACCTCTTGAGGCCTAAACCTAAACCCGTAATCCTACCTACCCAGACAGCCCAATACGCCTTAATTAAGGAATATACCTTAAATCATTAGGGGCTTCATATTATGGTTTAAGCTATATTCCTTCATTAAGCGGTATTGGGCTCTCTGGGTACCTTCCTCCTACCCTTATGAGGCCTCTGAGATCCTAGCTACACTTGAAGCCTGATGACGGTTACTTTCCGAATCGTATCAGACTATATTTTGCTTTAAATAGTCTGATTTACTAGGATAGTAGTATTCTTAGTCTCTTTTTTGTAGCCCTAGGTTCCTTATAAAGTTACCCAATACCAAAATGGGAGCCCTTTTTATTCCTAGTTTCTGGGCATCCTAGTTTATTATATTACATTATATCTTACCATATTGTATTGTACTATATTTTACTTTAAATTAGATAGTCTGCTTCAATATATTGCATGATATCTTACAATATTATATTGCAATACGTATTGTGTCAGCGAACCCTGAACCGTACACCCCGAACGTTCAAGTCGCATCCAAGATCGGGGTCTGAATTATGTGGGTGGTTGTCAAAATGAAGGCCCTCTTTTTGGGTCCCTATTATAGTACGGCACCTAATATTTAGGGTATTCAAAAAGGGGCCACAATTTTGACAACCACCCATGTAGAACAGTATTCACTTATAGTCCCGGTATGATTGTAGTAATTACAACATACAGTAGAACCTTATTCTAACCATGAAGGCACCTGTATTAGAGCCGTGTCAAGAGGCATCCCACCAAAGGTTCTAAGTTGAGGGTTTGGGGGTGTATCCGACCATTCTATGGGGCAAGATCCTAAACTAAACCCGACACCCGAAACCGACGGGCCCTGCTCTTTCGTTCGTCTGGAGGCGAGACGGGTGCCTTACGTGGGGATGAGCTGGATGAGGAGCTAGGGATTTGTTAAAGTAGGATGTGACGGGTTTGTGTTATAGGGTGCTCTAGCAGCTTGAGGATTTGTTGAGGGGACATTGGCATTGCTTCAGCGCGGACAGGAATCTCGCCACGGTGAGCGCAAGAAAATCTCGAGGAAGTACTATAGTAAGTGACCGGTGCTCTCTAGATAGAGCCTTGGATGTCAGGCATTGCCTAGGTGAGCATGGTTGCTATTAAAGTAAACGGTGTCCGCCTTTGCCAACATGAGCCCCATGATGCTCGCTAGGGTTTGTTTGCAGGCAGCTAGCCGCAAACTGGGAAGGCAGTCAACCTCTGTGTTTTACTCGGGAGTTGGAATGTGACTTAGTTTGCAGAGTTGCATTGTGTCTTCATCAGTTGCAAACTGTGTGTCACGAGACCCTATGGCTTCCACCCTAACGTTCGGGGTTTCACTCTCTTGCTCCCTCTCGCTCTCGCTCTTTCAATTGCTGTCTGTCTCTCTATATCGATCCACCTGCCCACCTGTCCTTAGTAGCTGAGTGGATACACTTTACTCTTTCTGAGATAGTATCATCCACTATAAAACCAAAAGTGTACACTTTTGGGGCTTGTGAACTCAGCAACTAAGTATCTATCCATCCATCCATCCATCCATCCATCCATCCATCCGTTGTTGCCTGCAGGACCAATCCGATGAGACGGAGACCATCGAGCTCTCATGGTGGCTGAAGTCCACATCTCAGCTACATTGAGGGTCTGGGAGTTAGAGGTTTTAGCCGTTCTGAGGGTCTCCGGAATCTGAAAGCTTGATGCCCGCTCTTCGAGTTACATTGCTTTGCAGGCCCCTGAACCCCAAGCCCTGATCCATCCACCCTCAAATACCCGAAACCCTCATCCCGAACCCTGAGCCTTGAACCCTTCCGAGGATCAAGTTGTGGAGCTTGACTCAGTACCGGCGGATCGTCTACCTGGCGCCGGGGCTATTCAAAAGGCTATCTTGGGGTATCGCTAGGGGATTTCGCACGGAGCATTATAGTACAATGATGATAGCATACCGATGTGGAATGGTTACAGTGCCTTCATCATAAGGATTACCAATGGCATAACGATTAAGGGGCTTCATGACACCTAGTTTGCGGTCCGGAGCTGAAAGTCTCATCCAGGGATTGAGAAGATCTTGGCTACTCGGAGGAGCATCAGACGTAAGCAAGGTTATGCGTACTTGAATTAGGGTTGTAAGTGAATAAACTCTAGTTGCCAAGTCCCATGATCCTTTAGTACGTAGTGGTGGGAAGGTGCGATTTAGGGCTGCAGGGGCTTGAGGTCTGAAGGCTGTTCTGTGGGAGCGGAAATGGCGAGATGGCCTACCCTAAACTCCTGAACCCTAAGCCCCTAAACCCTAAGCCCCCAAACCCTAAACCCCCCAAACCTGTGTCATGGTTGGATAACATTTTACATTTTTATGGCTACCTAAACCCAATAAGGAATAAAAATGTACATTTTTAATCCTATCCCAACCTTGAGCTAGAAACCCTAAACCGTAAATCCTAAACAAAAGAGTAGAGGACTGCTCGAGTTCGCAGCGCTTGCTCCGACATGGTATCGAATCTGCTGCGCCGGTCCATGGTCCCAGCGGCAGACACCTACTTTATAGGGGCCTTAATAGATAATTACCTCTACTATTTTGGTGGTTCCTATTAGAATTATAGTCTAATGGGACCCAAAACCCTATTCTAATTACTAAGGCCCTGATACCATAGATCCTTATAATAGATCCCTTATAGAACCCTTTAAAGGACCCTTAAAGGAACCCTATTCTAATTACTAAGGCGCCCCGATACTGAACCGCTGGACCCGCGAGGGGACGCAGACCGAACTCAGCAGGCCCTCCAGACCCCAAGATCCAAGATCTACATTTAGGGTTTAGGGATTTAGGGTTTGGGGGTTTAGGGGTTTAGGGTTTGGGGGTTTAGGGGTTTAGGGGTTTAGGGTTTAGGGGTTTAGGGGTTTAGGGGTTTAGGGGTTTAGGGGTTTAGGGTTTAGGGCCAGTTTAGGGGTTTAGGGGTTTAGGGGTTTAGGGGTTTAGGGGTTTAGGGGTTAGGGGTTTAGGGGTTAGGGGTTTAGGGGTTAGGGGGTTTAGGGTTTGGGGGTTTAGGGGTTTAGGGGTTAGGGGTTTAGGGGTTTAGGGGTTTAGGGTTTAGGGGTTTAGGGTTTGGGGGTTTAGGGGTTTAGGGGTTTAGGGTTTAGGGGTTTAGGGTTTAGGGGTTTAGGGGTTTAGGGTATAGGGCCTTATCCTTGTGGGTTTACGGCCGCCTACAAAGCCCAAAGAGTCGGTCTCTGCAAAGTCATACATCCTTAGCCTGGCTGAGGACGCAGACATTCTGGCGATGCAGCCTATCGACGAGCTCTTTGCCCTGCCTGTGCCTTGGTTTTGGGTTCTAAGGATTAGGGTTAAGGCTGTAGGGTTATCGTTTAGGGTTTAGGATTTGGGGTTTAGGGTTTGGATTTGGGGTTTAGGGTTTGGGGTTTCGGGCTTCTTTTCAGAGGTTTGGGGGCACCGGGTTCCGAAAATGAAGGTTAATCACTGCCCATAGGTTTGGCGTTTGAAATACTATACCGGTACAGAAAGGAGTTTGGAGTGAAGGGTAATTACTATAAACAAAGGTTGTGTGGTTCCTGGGGTCCGGGGGTTTCGGGTTTAGGGTGCTGGGCCTAACGAACTTTAGGGCCTTTGGGGTCTCAGAAGGGCTTAAATTATCGCTACCAATACCATTGTTGGGTTCCTTATTGTGGTTAAAGTATAGCAATACTAGGATGCCCAGTAGTACCCTTATTCCCTTGTTGTAGTCCTAGGCTCCTTATAAAGTTACCCAATTACCCAATACCAAAAAGAGAGGCCTTTTTATTCTTAGGTTACTGGGTATCCTAGGAATATTATGGGACGCGTACTTTTGCCTAGCTCGGTTTTGTTGCGAGTGTACCTTCGGCCCTCGGGCGCAGTGCAGTCAAGGAAGAAGAAGAAGAAGTTGAAGTAGGGTTCAGGGTTTAGGGTTTAGGACTTCTACTGTAGAAGTTAAAGCATAATTTTCGCCGAAACTCTATTCCAATTAGTTAAGGCCGCTACATAAGTCTGGTTGATGAGTTTCGGGTTGGTGTGAGTGCTTCGGACAGTTCAGGGCTCTTGGCACAGGGCTCCGGGTTAGAGCGATGTTTTGGATTACCTCAGTTTGATACGATTGACGATATAAAACCTGCATTACCCGTAAGGAATATACCGTAATTCCCAGAGTCGAGGGTCAGGAAGGCAGTGCAGGATTTATATCATCAACCGTATGACAGCAGCAGCAACCAGTAACTGTGGTGGCGCATCGTTCGTCGCTCATGTGCAAGGCCACTGAACCTCAAAAAAAGAACCTTATACTTCTGGAGCCCAGTACCCCGAATTAAACTTAACTTCAAATCATGGTGCGCAGTCCTTTAAAATTTACGGTTAGATTCCTCAATCAACGCGAAAGTGAGCTCCTTGCAAGCCAAGGAGGAGGTGGCGTTTGCTGCACCAGCCCACCTTTCACGCGATGGGACAGGCCGCATTTCACCCCGGAATAGGAACCCCCATACTAGGTATCGATTTTGGATAACTTGGAAATCCTTTATTGTTGAATATAGGCTTAATTGTACACGATTTTGGGGACTGCTGAAGTCGACCTAGCCATACCGGTCGATACCTTGGAATCCTAGGCGTAAACCAAACGCGCTCTAAGAATCCTCAACAAGAAACTCCAAGCCTTGCAACACTATGATTCCGCATGACATGCTCGTTAAACCTCAGCCCTAGACCCCAAGCCACAAAAACCCTCAACCCTGAACCCTACAACCCTAAACCCTCAGCCCTTGATTGAATCATTTTGGAACCCTGGAGTGAGCTTGCATCGAGGTTCTGCTGAGTTCAAAGCTTTGCTCAGGCTTTCTGCTGTGCTTCGGAAGCCGGGGTTCTGTCTTTCAAGGTTTAGGGGGTTAGAGGTGTAAAAGGCTTTGGAGTAGACGTACTTACATATGCCGATATAGATAGATAGCTAGATAGATAGTTCAGCTTCCAGCACAAAATCGTCCAAAACCCTATCCTACTCATTAGGGCTTATTAGGGGCCCGATATTAACCCGAAACTGCAGCGCCAAAAGGCTCGGAGATATCGGTGGGCGTCATGAGCTTGCGGCCGGACAGGTGCCTTGCGCTTTTTTTCGGAGAGAACCCAGAGACTCCAATATCCCTTAATTAAGGAATATTCCTTAAATCATATTAGGGATCCTATTATAATAATTTAAGGAATATTCCTTAAATCATATTAGGGATCCTATTATAATTTAAGGAATGTTCCTTAAATCATATTAGGGATCCTATTATAATTTAAGGAATGTTCCTTAATTAAGGGATATTGGAGTCTCTGGGAGGAGGTGGCGGGAGGGTGTAGGGCTTGGGTTTCGGGGAAGGTTCCGTGGCTGCACTAGGCTCTTGTTGAGGAGTTTAGTTCAAGTTACCATATTAGGGATCGATCACAAACGAGGGGGTTTCCTTATCGTGGTAAATTAAAGTTAGTTCCTTAGCAAGAGTCCAGTCTTGGGCGGAATGGGGGAGGAGTGCAACTTAAGATGCCCCTATTAGAGGGGCTTGAATGTCTAACCATACGACTCCTCGGGGCTCTTAGTCGAGCTCTACTCGAAGACACCTCCTCAAAACCCGAACGAAACGATTAAGGCCCATATATCACATGGCAGCCCTATGTCACTATGTGGTATCTTGTCATGACTTGGCACATGCTAGAAGTTCCTACTGGTTCCTTAGGGGTACTTAGAATTATTCTTAAATTTTTGGTTATTTTAATTCCCTAAGAAACAGCTAAAACCATAATTTTGGCAAGGGTTCTAAGTTCAGTATAGCTTCCATGATGGAGCTAGAGTCGTGCCAAATGCCGCAAATCTCCTCAAGAAGATTTTTTGCTGAAGTCATGATGTGGATCCCTTTCAGAGGCGGATCATGGCTAGTTCTAAGTAGGGCTATACGTAGGGCAAAATATGAGGGGACTTGTAACCCCACTTATACCTACCCGTGAACCTCCAAATACGCCCTAAACCCTGTAGAGCCCTTAAAGGAAGCCTTACTACCCATGAACGTCCAAGCAGAGGCGGATCTATGAGGCCATGATCTCCTTCCTCTCTGGGGCAGCAGAGCACTTTGTGACGGGCGTGCGCTCGGTGGACCCTTCGGGAAGCTCCTTCAACAGGGTTTAGGCTTTAGGGTTCAGGGTTTATGGATGTCATGTCGGAGCCAGAATCATTCGAATAGGGTTCTGACATATATCACACTACAAGGGGAACAGTCAGGCTTCAAAAATGGCTGGGCGCCTTCGGGTTTGCGCTAAGAGGGCCTAGATTGTGGAGATACAGTAACTTTTGTTGAGTTGCATCTTCCTTACTTGGAGGTTCATGGGTAGTTATACGTAGGGTAACTTTACTTATAACCCATTTTAGAGGTCTTATAGCCCGACTCGAACTACTCATGAACCGCAAAGTAATTCCGGATCATTAACGAACCCAAAACCGCCTTACAAGGATCCCTTATCGATTGGATGTTGCTCGACCACAGGAATAACAAATAATTTACGTTACTTGGAGGGTCGGGGGACTTAGTAAGTAGGCTATCAGTAGACTTATAAGTGCCTTAAAAGAGACCCTAATCGGGGTTATGGTACTTATAAGTCTCTAAAACAACTACTTTCTAAGTCCCCCGACCCTCCAAGTAACAGCCCCTATGAAGCCCTTGGGAGGACCAGATGCTCCAGCACAGTTTCTTCGCCAGCCACTTCCACTGGGGTGGATACCCCAGGCGAGTGGGAAAAGTTAGAGGTGTTAAAAGCCTTACGTTACGTATACATGGGGGTTCATGGGTAGTTATGAGTGGGGTTATAAGTACCCTTATCTGGGTCATCAGTAGAGCTGGCCTACTTCCAACCCCACGAAAAACTCCAATGAATCTCCAACTAGGAGGGAGGGGGGCGGTGCGTTAATGGCTACAAGAGTCGTTCTCCAAGTTCCTTAGTACGACAGTGCAATATAGTATATTAAAATGCCCAGTAGTACCCTTATTCCCTCTGGGCATCCCAGTACATCCTTATTGTAAGGACCCCAAAATAAGCCACCCCTAATTTTCGGAACCTCCCATATAGTATATCCCGACCTTCTCTCCTAATTATTAAGATTTTCACCTGTGTTAGGGATTGGGAGCTCTCAAGCTTGAAAGTTGTAGGGCTTTAGTTTATGGTTCTGCATTGTAGGGTTTAGGGTTTAGGGCTAGGGGTTTCGGGTTTAGTAGATGAGTGGATACACTTTACACTTTTTGGGATAATACCACCCACTATAAAACCAAAAGTGTACACTTTTTGGAGGCTGAACTCAGCAACTAAGTTGCAAGCTTCGGGTTGTAGGGCTTTAATTTAAGGTTCTGCACTTCAGGGCTTGAGGAGTGTAGGATTTCGAGTTTGTTTTGGGGTTTAGGGCCGCGGATTTGGCGTGTTCCTGGTGTATACAGGCTTCTGGAGTTTAGGGTTTCGTCCAGGTTGTTGAATCCCACACCGTCACCCGAACACCCTGCAAGAATTGACAGCAACAGCATCTCAGGTCCAAGAGTTACAGGGCCGTTCGGAGTTTGTGTCTTGTTTTATCGTTGGAGTCCAGGCCAGCTCCCTATCCCTAAGCCCTACTTGGAGGCTCATTGGTAGTTAAGGTAGTTATAAGCGAGGTTACGAGTCAGTGAATATGGGTTATTTTTGGCATTCAGGTACCCGAGTTATAACTTTAAACCCACCACTCCCAACTGCCCATGAACCTCCAAGTAAGCCCTAGAATTATGTACCTCAAGCCGACCTAAACCCCTCAACCCTTGACTCGAAACCAAGGTTTGTAGAAATACTAGTCCGGAGGGTTCCTTACCAAGCAAAAGTTTATGTTCAAATTATCTCCTTATAAACTTGAAGGTCTTTACAACAACTGGGTTCTTGTTCGGCAACTTGATGTAAGTTACCATCAAAGGGATCTACGGTGAAAATGGTGTCCTTGTTATGGAACCTTAGTTTACCAGTATTATGGTAACTTTGGTTAAAGTTAGATCCCTTAGTAACAAGAAGCTTACAAGGCTCTTAGCCTTACCCATGACAGGTGGGAGGTTGGCACCGGGCGCTTCGCCGGCTGTAGCGAGGCCTGGTCTGGGATGGCTGTTTAGGTTTAATGTCGGGGCCTTAAAATATAGTCTCCTTAGAAACTATTATTGTTTATTTCTGTTCATACCAATAGATTAGAATAATCGGGGCCCCTTCAAAGGGCTCGTTTAAGGGATATGATAAGGGTACTATAAGGGATTTAGGGTTGTAGGAGACTGAATACTTAGAATAGTGTTTGCAGGTATTCTGCTATAACTATAACAAGGGACCACCACAACCCTATTCTAACTGATTCTAACTATTAAGGCCCCTACATTATGGTGGTTCTATCGGGCCTCAACGATTTCGTTCGTAACTGCAGCCATATGTGACGTACCCATGAACCTCCAAGCAGTCGTCCAGGGTTTCAAGTAGTGTTGTGGAAGTGGGGATCGGGGCTTAGGGACTTAAACCCGCAAATCACAAGCCGACCAGCATCCTAATCTCGTACAAAGCCTGCGTGCTAAGTCCTAAAACCGGAATCCCGAAAACCTACAGGGCCTACACACTTTTCCCAAAACCTGATGCTCAAGCTCCAGGAATCCTTAGCCAGAAGCCGTTTAATTATGGTCCTTGTTCTTGAACTAAACTTTGCGCCGGAACCTTCTTCCTAGTGCGGAGGCCCCGATACTTGCGGAACCTAGATCCAAACCCTAAGCCCCAAGACTCAAAACCCCGAGCCATAGGACCCTAAACGAACCCTCGGACCCTGGCCCTAGACCCTAAACCCCAAGACTCTAACCCAGAACTAAACGAAACCTAAGACCCTAGACCCTGAACACGGAGCCCTGACATCCTAAACGAACCGTAAGCCTCTAGCCCCTAAGACCCTTAGGTCCCCGTAGGTTTTAGGGTTTAGGGGTTTAGGGTTTAGGTTTCGGGTTTAGGGGGTTAAGGGTTTAGGGGTTTTGGCCAAAACCCAGAACCTTTCCTGCCCTGAGGATGTGCCGCCCATGAGTCCGAGCAGCTTCGGGTCGCAGCAGGAAAGCCTAGGGCTCGTTCCTTGGCTGTTCAGTGGTACACGTTCGAGTCATTTTTGTACTTTCAGGTTTCTGGGTTCCTATTGTAAAACAAGAAGCCTAACAAAGTATATACTTCTTCCCAGTGGGTTACTGAACAGCCTAGGTTCCTCGGCTCCTCGAAGGTTTAGGGTTTTAGGGTTTCGAGCTTTAGGGCTTCAGGATCTTGTTTAGGCTTGGTTTTAAGGTTTCGGGCTTCAGGGCTTTAGGGTTTAGGGCTTTATGTACACTTAAGCGGTTTAGGTAATTACTAAGTGTTTCGAGTTTTGGGGTTTTAGGGTCTTGAAATCTCGTGCTTGTAGGGGTTCGGGTATTGCTAGAGGCCCTGTTAGGAGGCGCCTATCAAAGCATACGTTCGCCGCTTTCGAAATACGAGATTTTGCGGTAGGGGTAGATGGTGGCTACAATATGACATTATGTTCCACAGTATGATGCAGTGGTGTGCTGCATGTTGTGTGTCCTAGAGCGTTGTAGTGCATTGGCGAGCACTGTATGAGTCAGATTCGGGGTGTTCTATTGAAACCACCTTTCTGTAATATAGGGGCTTGAATGATTACCAATTACTATTTTGGTGGAGCTTTTTTATGATTATAGTAGAATGGGCACCAAAACCTTGTTCTAATTATTGAGGCCCCAATATAACCGTTCGGGATATCCTTCAGCTTAGGGTTCGGGAATCGGATTTCCTGACATCAACTCATCAACCGTAATCTCGGAACCCTAAAACCTTCCTAAGCTTTCAACCCTGAACCTTAATATAGGGGCGGGCTTAGAACAATTACCAATAGTATTTTGGCTGGTTCCTTATAACTGTTATACATAGTATAATGGGCCCCTAACCCTAGCCTAATTATCCCAAGCCTAATTAACTAAGAAGACCCTTACATTAAGCTCCTACCGTTGGGATTCTTGAGTTTAGAAACCGAAACCCTCCCTAAACCCCCTCAACTCTGAATCCTAAGGAATCGGTGTGAACCGTAAGTCCAAGCCGTCCTGCAGAAACCTTGTGATTCCGAAGCAGTACCTACGCCCACAAATTCAGCCGAACTCTCGAAACATGCACCCCCAAAAACCACGCAACTTGACTTCCCTCCCCTCCGCTAAACCCTACAGTGAACCCCAGAAAGTTGGAACATGGGTTTGGGAGGATTAGTGCTAGGATTCCCTTTACTTTACCTTAGGGGCATGAGGATGATAATGTTCCAACTTGCTGGCTTCTACTGTAGACCCTAAACACTCCCTTCCCAGAGAGCCCAATACCCCTTAATTAAGGAATATACCTTAAATCATTAGGGGCTTCATATTATGATTTAAGGTCTATTCCTTAATTAAGGGGTATTGGGCTCTCTGGGTTGCTGATGTAGGTTAAAGTCTAGGGTCCAACATTTAGGGGTCAGGATGGTACAGGGTTTCTGGGTTTAGGGCGTCTTTCCTCCAAGCCAGAGATTCCAACATCCTTTAATTAAGGAGTATTCCTTATATCATGTTAGGGTTAGGGTTTAGGGTTTAGGGTATCCGACTACAATTGAAGGTACATTCCCTACTTACTGGAAAGCGGAGCCTGGAAGTCCCAGGTTTGTGTGCTGCCTCCACGATACGACTTCTGTGTGTCCTATCCTGCGCTCGTGGCCGGCATGGACTCGCCGGAGTTTCAGGAGGCATTCGAGGGCACAGTCTCTTTGAGGGCTTAGGGTTTTAGGGCTTTTAGGGTTTAGCAGTTTAGCAACCCAAGGGTGTCAGGATTACTATAGGGGCCTTCATAGTTAATTCGTAGAGGGCTTTGGGGGTATAACCTATTATAAGTATGATAAGGAGCCCCCGAATCCCGACTCCAATTACTAAGGCCCCTACATTATGAGGTTTGAAGAAAGGGGCCTGCGTAACTAGTAATACTAGTCCTCAACGCTCCTCATTGTAACTGCGCCATAATGTACCCCCAAACCCCATTCCATTTTTTAAGGCGCGTACATTGTATGGTTTCAGAGGCTCATGGGTTCATGAGGGTTGTTCTGAGCTTTTGCAAGGCTTTGCGGAGTGTAGAGGTCCTTAGTTTTGGGGCTACACTTCCGACTTAGTAGGGTAGTTGAAAGTGGTGGGGGGGTATTAAGTACCGCAGCGAAGGTTATACGTAGTTGTATCTCGAGTCCTGCGCTCATTCCGACAACGGCCACATCTCTGAACAACCCCAACCCAAACCCCCAACAAAGCACCCCTTGACACTCCAAGGAACTCAAACATAGGCGTGTACATCCGCCCTCAAACCAAGCCCTTTCAACCCTACACCCCAAGCCCTAAACCCTAAAAAGACCCTAAACCCTAAACCCTAAAAGGATCGTATATCCTACACACTCTAAGCCGTTCACAAAAACGACAAAGCAAAAACAAAACAACCACAAAAAGGAACCACCAAAAAAAAAGCAAAGAAAGGAACCACAAAAAAAAAACAAAAGAACCACCGAAACAAAAAGCACAGGCGGAGCTGGCGATCCAATTTCTCCAACCCGGGGCCTCCCGGCTGTCACAAAAAAGCTTCGAGGCTCAGTAGCTAGACTTAGGGTTTAGGGGCTTAGGGTGTGGGGGTTTGGGTTTAGGGGCTTAGGGTGTGGGGGTTTGGGCTTAGGGGCTTAGGGTGTGGGGGTTTGGGTTTCGGGGTGTTTAGGGGGTCGGAATAAGTCTTTTAATGATGGTCATCCCCCATATGTCCCCTATATAGGCAAGCCATAATGTACACCCCCAAACCCTATTCCAATCATAAATATAAATGGCCGGCAGTAGAGAGGTTTCATGCAGTGTTAAGTCGCTCTATCTAGGGCCCCAAAAAAGCCCATAAGCATAAGCTTTTTATAGGGATATCCATGGGCTTCATGATAAGGGGGTTTATATGGGATATCCCTGTCCTCAGTGTGCTTATGTGCTTTTTGGGGCCTACTATCAGGCGTTGTAAAGAGGCTTGTGCTGTGGATGTTCAAGCGCGGATGTTTTCTCAGCCCGGAACGTGGGGGATACCAGAGAGAGCTGCAGCAATTACAGCACAGTAGCTGAGTAGGTAACCTGTACCTTTTGGGGTTTATATATAATCCTACCAAAATTGAAAAGGTTAACCTTGTCTACAACTGTCATGCATTAGGGGGTGTGTGCTCTTCAACCTTTCATCCTTGCTTGGAAATTCATGGGTAGCGACAGTATGTGTTGTTGCCAAGTAAGGCAGTCTGGCCACGATCAGTTATCGTCCCAATGGCGGTACTTACAGCCCTGCTTATAACATGAACTCGGACTCGGGCTAGCAGAGGATTGTGAAAGACTTCGCAGCGCATGCATACAGCAGGTCGAGCGTGGTCTCTATAAGATAAAGGCTTCGTCTCTGGTGAATGAGTTGTATATCTCGTCTGTAAGACAATACCCGGTGCCATCCAAGTGCTGTGGCTTCGGCAATACCAGCACTTGAAGAATCAGAAACAGCGGTCCTTGTCCATGGTTGTAGGATTAGGGTACCAGATAAATTCTTTTACTGCTAACAAGCAAGCGGAGACGAGGCTTTTGCCTCGAGTCGTCCTTAGGCCAGGGATGTATCTGCTGTATAGAGAAGCTTGACTGATTTCCCATCTGATTGCATCAGGTGCCTTGCAAACATTATTATACAATGAAATAACCTAAAGCCCGATTCTAACTAGCAAGTATCTTCACTGCACCATGAAAAGAAACGAAGCCTAATTCCAACTACGCTTGATGATAAGAAACATGCATTACCTTAATGACCCTAAACTATGGGAATTATGATATATTCCTTATTATGGGTATTGCAAGATTTATATCATCAACCCTAGACCCTAAAACCCTATAGATCCCTGAAAGGAACCCCCTAAAGGTACCCTTCTTGATCCCTGTAACGGGACCCTAGGGTTCATATGGGTGGTTGTCAATACTAGGGTCCCTTTTTGGGTCCTCATTGCAATACGACACCTAATATTTAGGGTACCCAAAAAGGGGACCCTAATTTTGACAACTACCCATATCATCCGCCGTAGTATATAAGGCTTCTGTATTCCACGGAACCCGACGATCTCCCCAACCTCGAAGACCCTACTTGGAAGGGCAGGGGACTTAGTAAGGGCTCTTAAACGGCTCCTTAAAGGGATCTATAGGGTTCCTTATAGGGATCTATGTGGGGTTTAGGGTATAGGGCTTACTTGGAAGCGCAGGGGACTTAGTAAGTAGGTTATAAGTAGAGTTATAAGTGCCCTAAATGGAGTTACCCCAATTATAACCCTGCTTATAACCTACTTACTAAGTCCCCTGCCCCTCCAAGTAAGATAGGGACCCCAAAAAGCACACAAGCATAAGGGTTTGAAATTTAAAGTTTAGGGCATCTAGTAGGGATATCCCTACCATATTGGGCTTCATTATAAGGGGATTTATATGGGATATCCATATCCTTACTTTTGCTTTAGACCTAGGCCGTCATCAAAGAAGGCCACACAGAACCAGCCCCCCCCCCCGGCCTTCCCCGCTATGTTATACTATGCTATATTGTACTGTCCTATCCTATTATATTTTTACTATACCAAGAACCAAGATGGAAGATTCTCGCAAGGAGCGTGCAGAGGCTGAGGGCTTCTCGGCACAACTCCGCGCCAAGCTCCTTCACTGGACGGGACCACGACGAAACTTGGGCTGCAGAGAGCTGTTGGGTTGCTCCTTTCGGGTTTAGTGTGTTTCAATGCAACATTGGGCGCTCCCTAAACCCTAAAGCCCGAGATCCTAAACCCTAAACCCCTAAGCTCTAAATCCTAATTCGGGGGATGCACACAGGCAGACGACCAAGGTCTGAAAAAGAAGCAAAACGACAAACGTGGAGAAAGACAAAGGCCTCCAGTTGATGATATAAGTTCTGCATTACCTTAGGGACCCTAACCTATGGGAATTATGGTATATTCCTTGTTGTGGGTAATGCAGGATGTACATCATCAACAGTCGCTCGACATGGTGCGGCAGAAAGATGATATGCTTGACTTGATTATGGGTCCGTGGAGCTTGTTCCACGAACCCGCCATGCTTCGCGCCTAAACTCGAGTTCCATGCCACACCAATCACTACTGCCTTGGCTTTTGTGTTATCTAATGTTGTTCAACAACTGGTCTTCTAGGGACCCTATACACGAACATAATTCAAAGGTTTGTCAAGGCCGACCCATACCAAAATCACCCAAAGGAAAGCCATGTGATAATTTGATAATTATAAGTTACTGGGCCCCAAAACCCTATTCTAACCATTAAGGCCCCTATAGTTATAATTAGAAACTAATGGGCCCAAAAACCCAATTTTAACCATTAAGGCCCCTATATTAAAATCGAATCAGGAAAGCCATGGTTGCACTTTCTCTCTATATCGCGGACCACCTTCGACACCCTCTGGTGGAGCGAGCATGACGAGATGTGCAGCGAGGTCGGGGCTCCTTTCGTGCGTTTAGGAATTCGTTTAGGGGTAGGGTTTAGGGTTCAGGGTTGTGTTTCTATCATAATAAAACTCCACCAACAGATTACTTAACTTATTGTCCCAACATAGTCCTAAGGGCGCTTAAGGCTACTTTCTAAAGCCGGAAATTAGATGTTCATCACCTCATACCATTGCATGTTCACATGTCAGAGGCGTCAAGAGGTCAAGAAGCCGTTTGATGCCAGGCACAGCGCCAGCAATCGCTGGATGGGCCTCTGCCGTGCCAGTTTGATTGCGCCTCCTTGTAGGAAAAAGGTACCCCTCAGGTCTGAATCAGCCAGCAGTTGCCAATGAACTGTTGCTTGGTGTTGACTGCTGCAGCTTACAGTAGAAGCCAGAAAGTTGGGACATCAGTATCCTCGTGTCGCGAAAATAAGTAGAGGGGATACCTGCACCCATCATCCTAAAGCCGTGCTCCAGTTTTCTGGGGTTCGCTATACTTTATTTAGCAGGGGCCCCCACCCTGTAATAGTGGTAGAATAGGAATATAATAGGATGCGGGCAGATTCTAAGCTATACTTGTCGTTTTTATGCAACTGCAAATCATGTGGGTCCCCAAACTGGCTTTTGAACCACAAACTGCCCACGGGTTTAGGATTTAGGGTTTACCATAGTCTCCTCAGGCAGTATTTTTGTTTTTGTGCATATTTACTATAGTCTCCTTAGGCATTATTTTTTTATTTTTGTTCATATAAAGCCCATGTTGAAAATACTTGTTTTATGGTTCTAAGTTCTAAGGGGGATGTAGTTTAGAGTTTAGGATTCCGGAATCGAAGCCTAGTCCTCGACCCGAAGTGGCGAGCCCGTCGTAGGCTTACTTCAGGATTTGGCAACGAATCATGGGAGTATAGAGCTGTGCGTGTTACCATATTGTACATTGTAGAGTGACACCCTGTACGTATGCAGATATGTACATACATACATGCGCACGGGTATTGGAGTGCCTATTGACATGTCTACGAACGAGAACTGCATATGATACATATGGCAACATATTAGGGTTGTTTTGTCGACATGTTCATGTGCCTAGTTGACACAGTAAACAAGCTACTGAGCCGTACTCCACATGGTTGTACACATAGTTGTATACACACATGCACATGCACCTGGTTCGGGAATTTTCGGTTGGACATAAGATCGCTCAACGTTGCATTGCTGCCGGACTCAGTTTTGTGTAGCACGACAGAAAAGCCACGAGAGAACCCGACCAAAGGACTGCTTACATTGTTACAACCATCTTGTGCACATCGCACCGATCGGTCGAGACTTGGCCATCTAGCTCCCGCGCCGCGATGCCGCTGAACATTCTGTGGACACAGTCGATCTTCCAGCTCCTTCCGAAAGTGGCTCGGGCGCACGAGTGTAATATAGGGCGTTAATATACCTATAGTATTTTGGAGGTTCCTGGTTATAATTATAATTATAGTATACTGGGCCCCCAAAACCCCATTCAGAATGTGGTTTAAGGCCCCTATAATGGGCTTGGCAGGTCGGAGGGCTGGCGTTCCGTAAGCAAGCTTCGCAGCTCTTATGGAAAACCCAGAGACTCCAATATCCCTTATTTGAGGAATGTACTGTACATTATAGCAGGGTCCCGAGTATGAGTTCAGCATTTTTCTTTAAGTAAGGGTGTTTGGAGTCTCCGGGAAAGGCAGGCCCACCTGGTGGCCTATGTCGACCCACCTCTGTCGTTTGCCGAGTCTTTCAACTGTTCACCGCAAGTTGCCAGGCCCTGAAGCATTCCCCTATCCCAAACCCTACAGTAGAAGCCGGAAAGTTGGAATATCATTATCGTAACCCCTTTATGGTAAATTATAGGGGAGCCTACCATTAATCCATATTCCAACTTTCTGGAGTTCCCTTTAAGACGTACACTCGAAGGCCTAGACCATGATTTCTGGCAGACGGAAAAGAGCCAATAACAGAAAAACAGCGGAATTCTGAGCCTTGAGCCCTAAACCCGCAGCATGTGTTTTGTTATGGACCGAAGTCTGCTTCAGGTGGGGCCCCGGACGATCGCCTCTCAGCTGATTTTGTTTTGAAGCAAGGATTTAGGGATTAGGGTTTAGGGGTTTAGGGGTTAGGGTTTATGGATGATGGTACTTCAAAGTTAGAACCCTTTGGGCTAGGGTACTCAGGACCTATTAAGGATTCGAGCAGGGTTTGGGGTATATGATCTTCTGGTAATGTGGGGGCTATTAGGCGGTATTATTGGCGAGAGAGAGAGAGAGGGAGAGTGCAATGAAAAGTAATCAGCTATCCTGAACACGCTCCAGTGCAAAAAACACTCTGTGCAAATGTGCCTGCCACTATACCATGACCTACTACAGCTGCCACATTCGCAGCTGGATGCAGCTAGAGTGGACATCATGTTGAATGACATGTTAGGAAGCCTTTTTCAACAAGCCACGCAGTTCCTCTCCAATCGCAGAACCCACACTGCATAAAGCTGAATTCCTTTTCGGCCGTACTTAAGCCGAAATGCTACAGCCTACAAGACCTAACAACCCACAAATCCCGAAACCGTCAAAGGTCCTTTGGCTCGTCAGCTCTGTGTCTTTGGTGATCACCCTTGGCTTCATCTCTGTTTGGGCATGGCGGGAACACAGGCCTGACGTAGCAGAGGCAGCAAAGGAGCTTTCATTCGGCTTAGGGCTTAGGGATTTGGAGGCCCTAATAATTGGAATAACCTTGCGGGTGTCTTGCCATATATAGGGACTCGGCGGAATAGGAGTCGTAGTCGTCGTCGTAGTAGTAGTAGTAGTATTAGTAGGCACGCAAGCCCCTACATCAGGTTTATACTGGATGGTGGTGACGGTATATAGGGCTGCTAGGCAGTACTGGTGAGTGCATGTTTGAGCATCGAATAAGGTTATTGTCAAACACCTAACTTCATGCGGTGTGTGGCATCTAACCTAAACCCTGAACCTTAAACTCTAAACCCTAAACCCTAAACCCAAAATCTAAACCTTAAACCCGAAACCCTAAGCCTTAAACCTCTCGAGTGCGAGCCATAATCCTTCATCCCAACGACCCCCGAGGCTGCAGCTAGGGCATAGGGTCAAGGGTTATTGAACACATATGCAAAAGGGCTTGCATAATTACCTATGCCTCTTTGGGGGTTCCTTATTGTAATTATAGTATAATGGGGCCCAAGAACCCTAATCCTGTTTGGGTTTCGGATTTGAGATTTCGGGTTTAAGGGTGTAGGGTCTATCTGCACGGTACAACGGCTTATTCACACTGCAGTTCAAAGACGCTTGCTGGAATTCGCGTAACACAGGGGCCTTAATAATCAGCAGAGGGTTTTCAAGGGGTTCCTTACTACAACTATGGTATAGTATAGCCCTATAGACCCTAGTTTAATTATTAAAGCCGCTATAGTATCCTTTGCCTTCGACCTGCTGGTCTAAAGCCTGCTAGGACCCTTTTTTGGGGTTCAGGTGCCCTTAGAAGTTCCTTTAAACCAAAAAGGACACCCTTTCTGTTCCTAGGTTACTCTTAGGTCTAGCCTGTGTACAACTTGCTTTGACTGAACTTGGTTTGGTTCGCACATCCATCCCAAGCAAATGCGAAAGTGAAGCCCGCGCATTTTGACAAAAGGCCGATATCTTGAGGCATAGGGTCTTAACATGTGCATCTGAGCAGCTCGTAATGCCGCACCTCCCGAATGAAGTTGCAGCAGAAAGCCCCAGGTATCACAGCCTCTATTTTGCAATGCTGACCCGGGCTCCGAGACTACAGCCGCCAGCCTGCCACCCCCAAAATGCACAAGACCGGCCCAAATCTCACAGAGGTCACCCTCACTTTGCTGAAAGCCGAATGTAGGCACCTGATTAAGAAACCCTGGGCCTAAAACCTCAAAACAGTAGGATCCATAAAAGGAACCCTAATAAAAGGTCAAGGTTTCTGAATCAGGTTCCTACATGAATGCCTTACATACTGCAGCCCATCCTAGACCTTCCGCCCCAAGTGCTTACCTTTGGTTAGTACGGAATGGAGGAATGGGGTACAATTATAACTACTACTACTACTACTACTACTACTACTACTACTACTACTACTACTACTACCACTACTACTACTACTACTACTACTACTACTACTACTACTACTACTACTACTACTACTACTACTACTACTACTACTACTACCATTCTTCCATTCCAAGTAAGAGTCGCTGACAGGGCCTGCAGTAAGATGCTGAAAAAGCGGCCGATGCGTCCGCTGGAACTGCAGCTGGCGAGCCTTCTCCGCACTTACGGAAGGGGGTGGCTACGATGAGGGACCCCAAAAGCACATAAGCATCAGCATTCGAAAGGGACATCCCGACCTTATTGGGCTTCATTGTAAGGGGGTTTTAATATGATATCCCTATACCAGGGATTCGACTTTGTATGTGAACTGGGGTTTAGTGTCTGGCCCAGCCGTGCTGAACAAAGCTTCTGAAGCCTGGCAGAAGAAACGGACTTGACGTTCCTTTAAAGGGCTCCTTTAAGGGATACTATAAGGGTACTACAAGGGTTTAGTATAGGGGCCTTACTAATTAGAATGGGTTTTGAGCTATACTATACTTAGAATAAGGAGCCCCCAAAATCGTATAGGTAATTATTTAGGCCCCTATACACCCTGACGACAAACAAGGAACAGATTAAACTGGGCTCATGCTGTAACCTTTGTCATAGTTGGGTAACATTTTGCATTTTCACGGGTCCTTCAACCCAATGAGAAATAAAACTGTACGTGTTTATGCCTATCCCAACCATGAACTAGTAGCCAGTATTCGTCATCAGTAGGTTGGATGTATCCGAAAGGGCTTGGTCGTAACAACCTGACTGTAGTAGAAGCCAGAAATCTGGAACATCATAATCCTCATGCCATGAAAGTAAAGTATAGGAAACCCTCGAACAAAACACCCTAGTCCATGTTCCGACTTTCTGGGGTTCACTGTAATTTAGTCAAACGTGTCGGTGGCACTTATTGCCGTGGATAGTTGGGCTGCCGCCAGGATGAGTAGTAGTATCCGATCCCCTTGTCGCCATGTTTTGCTTATAAAGTATACAGACCAATAACCACCACAAAAAAACAAGGAACCCCAAAACCCTAAACCTTAAACCCTAACCAAAGCCAAAAAACAACGAACCCCGAAGTGCAGGAGAGCCATCAACTTTTTCCCGCTGCCCATCTGCGCCATGGCCTTCGCCACCATGATGTATCCGGCGCTGGCACCTCGAACGAACCCCTGAAATACAGGGGCCTTTGAAGTTTGATCCCAGAGACTCCAATATCCCTTAATTTGGAAATATTCCTTAAATCATTGATTTTGGGGGACTAAGGGGATATGGGAGTCTCGAATGGAACCCCGTACTATATATGGGCCTTAAGAATTTGGAATGGTGGGCTCCTTCGAGGGATACTATAAGGGTACTATAAGGGTTTCGTATAGGTAGGGCCTGAATAATTTAGAACATTTTTTGGGTTACATTCTCAGACTATAGCTGAGAACCCTAAAGAGAGTAAAGGTAATGATGACGGGTTAAGGTTCCTTCTTACATACCCCGTAAAAAGAGGAGGGTTTCTTGTCAAAGCTTCTGAGGTAATGCAGAGCTCGTTAAGTGTTTATAAGGGGGTTCTTGGGGCCTCAGTAATTTCCTAGTAGTAGAGTAGGTAACCTGTATAACCTTTTTTGGGTAGTATAGTCCCATAATCCCTTTTTAACCAAAAAGGTTAACAATTAGGTGGTTTTTGGAGCCTCAATATCAAAGGGGAAAAGGAGGGACCCTTAATGGGACCCCTACCCTATAATGGGCCATATAAGGGGTCTATAATAGCTATATTAAGGGTATATACCAAAGAAGCACCCAGACATAAACTTTCGGGGGGATTTCCCTATCTTTTTGGGCTTTAAACCGGGGATTCTGGCATATCCCAACCTTATGCTTTTTGTTTAGGTTTTTTTGGGTCCCTAGTAATATAGGGGCCTCAATAACTACTTATGCTACATTATTTAGGGGTTCTGTCTTATAACTATAGTATAAGTTGGCGCTCTTCTGGTTGGCTCTTAGGACTTTAACTTTTTGGGTTTCCATATGAACCATAGTCACGAGGCTAACAGTTTAACTTTTAGGAGGGGTGCAGAAGACAGCCAAGATAATATACCCCCAAACCCTATTCTGATTATTGAGGCCCTTATACTAAACCCTTATAGTACCCTGATAGTATCCCTTAAAAAAGAGCCCTTTAAGGGAACTCTACTCGAATTATTAAGGCCCCTATATTGGATGCATATCTCGCTGGCGCCCGAAAGGGCAGCTCCCAGTTCCCCAAACCCTGGACTATGGACCCCCAAAGCCTGGCCCCACTCAGTAACAGCTACATAATGTGTGTATATAGCCTGGATACAAGATAGAACCATAGGTAGGTAGATCGATACACAGGCCCTCATGCCTTAATAGTTCACTTCTTATAGACCCTTACTTCATAGGGGTTCTACCCTTCCTATTGAACCCACGTGGATACTTCCTACTTCTTGATCATACGGGCTCATGTCTTCCCAGGCCTACTCCGCTGATATGGTCGCGGGTATCTTCACTGCCGTGATCATGGGAGGTGGCTCTACTTTTTCGGTCATGGAGAAACGCCCATACGGGTGTGGCGATTGGTTCGGGGGTGGGGCTTCTCTCCATCACGAGAACCATAGTCGTTTTCGCACAAACCAGCCACCCACCCTTACCAGACCATACCATTGACCTTTGGGGGGGGGGGGGGGTAGCTACAAATAAATATATAAATACGCAACATATATAAATATAAATATAGATATAGTACTATATGTGTATATATACACACGCGTGTACAGAAGTATCTATATGTGTATATACCTACATATATATATATATGTATGTATATGTATATGTATATGTATATGTATATGTATATGTGTGTGTGTGTGTTCGTTGTGCATCTGGAAGCTTTGAGCTTTCGGGTTGTAGTCTCTTGCAATGCACTGCTGTGTCACTGTAGTCACCGGGCGATGCCATCTACACCTGGAGAGTAGGTTCTTCAACCTCCCCAGGGTTCAGGGGTTAGAGTTCAGGGTTTAGGGCGTGTGGAAGCCTAGGCCAATATTCAGCCAACTCCATAAAACCCACAACTCTCCTGCACGGCTTCACCGTAACACCCTTAGAAAACAAAAGCTTTGATGGCGCCTGAAAGTCTGCAAAACAAGGAAGGCAGAAACAAAGGGATACGGTTGATGATATAAATTCTGCATTACCTTAAGGCCCCTAACCTATGGGAATTATGGCATATTCCTTATTACGGGTAATGCAGGATTTACAACAGTACCACCAACAACTTCAGCAACCATGACGACGAGGACGGCATTTTGCGCCAGTGCCACCACCGGCCTGAAAGGTGTTTAGTCCGTGGACCCCACAGGTTATTCCCACAATGGAACGATTCGTTGTGTTCGTCTTCCTATTTTCGGTATGACTTTTGCTGCCATTGTAAATATTCGGTGCATTCGTCTTCCTAGTGTTTTAGTATGACTATTGCTGTTATTGGTAATGTGTATAATGTTGTGCTTTGTCTGTATAATTCTGATCATTACGATTGTTATGCTTCCTAGGGCGCCTATCAAGCTAAGTCGTGGACAAAGGTCTGGTCCAGTACATCATGTTGGCCTTTGGCCGCTCCATTCGCATGAAGTTCTGGGAGCTGCGCCTAAAATAGGAACCTTAGCCTTAGTGATTAGAATCGGGCTTATTAAGGTTATGAGCCACTAAGCCCCAAAGCCCTATTCCAGTTGTTAAGGACCCTATGTTACACCCTCCTTGGAGGTTCAGGGATAGTTTCAAGCAACATCGGCGGTTGTTGGTACCGTAGTTGGGCCAGGACTGATCAGAGCCTCATGCGGTCCTTACCACCCTAGTTACAAGCGTCGTGCATGACTCTCCAGCAAGCTGAGTTTTCCCCTTTGGGGCTGTTGGACTTGTGAGCGGGGTCGGAAACTCAATTCAGCAAGTTTGCCACCGCTTTATGTAGGAACATGAGCGTCACATTTGGTGTACGAGGGCTCCCGCAATAGGGACAAGTCTGTAAGTTTGGAGGGAGCCTCACGTTTAACACAGGGGTCGGACGAATTAATCATAATACGTCCGTGCATACCAACAGCGCAATAAACCCTAAACCCTAAACCTCCCTAAACCCTAAACCGTAAACCTCCCTAAACACAAAACCCTAAATCCCCCACTCTACATAGTCACTCGTATGTCTGTCTTTTCGTGTCTCAGGTCTGGGCCAGGGCAGAAAAGTCGAGGTGTACTTCCCCGAATATGGGTCGTAAGCATCGTTGCCCTACTTATATGGATTATAAGTGGGGCTATAAGTCCCCTAATATGGGTGAAAAGTATAGTTGAACTATTCATATGGGTAATAAGCATAGTTGCCCTACTTACAACCCTGAATCTGCCCATGAACCGAAAAAAGTTAGGAGTCACGAAGCCTCCACCTTTGGGATAGACAAAATTCATGGATCTTCCACGCCTCTCCATGCGATGTAGGACTGGTGCCGCAAGGTTTCCTGTAAGAGATCTTTCAGGCTACTATTGGGGAATAGGCTCGTTAGTAGCAGGGTAGGTAGCCTTTAACCTTTTGGGGGGTCTATATAATCCTGCCATAAATTGAGAAGGTTAGGATACTCAGCCTCTAAGGTTTTAGGGCTTATGTTGGGGTCTGTGGTGAGTCGAATAAGCGTACGCACAGCTTTTAGGAGCACTGGTGAGTGCTATTCTGGGTCTTGGTATGGCGATGCGAGTAATGAAAGCGCTACTTCACGCCCTGCCACCTCAGGAAACGACTACTCCATCAGCGTCCTTCTCAACGAGACGCCCTTGAAGAAATGGTGGTACCCGTCCTACTGCGGAGGTCCGTAGCATTGCCATAAGGGTACAATCACGCGTAGAACAAAAGAGTGTATGTAGCCCGTTGACTTTTGACATAGATCATGGCCGGCATCATCATGGCAGTTGTGATGCGCAGATAATGCTTCTTTCAGAGGGATACGTGATAACTTAACGGTATATATAGTAGAGAAATAGTGGTTAAACTTCGAAAGTCTGTCAGCTCTAACACTTCCAACAACGTTCATCGGCCTTGCGATTGCAACTACCAGCTTGGAGCACTGGTGTGTGTGTGTGTGTGTGTGTGTGTGTGTGTGTGTGTGTGTGTGTGTGTGTGTGTGTGTGTGTGTGTGTGTGTGTGTGTGTGTGTGTGTGTGTGTGTGTGTGTGTGTGTGTGTGTGTGTGTGTGTGTGTGTGTGTGTGTGTGTGTGTGTGTGTGTGTGTGTGTGTGTGTGTGTGTGTGTGTGTGTGTGTGTGTGTGTGTGTGTGTGTGTGTGTGTGTGTGTGTGTGTGTGTGTGTGTGTGTGTGTGTGTGTGTGTGTGTGTGTGTGTGTGTGTGTGTGTGTGTGTGTGTGTGTGTGTGTGTGTGTGTGTGTGTGTGTGTGTGTGTGTGTGTGTGTGTGTGTGTGTGTGTGTGTGTGTGTGTGTGTGTGTGTGTGTGTGTGTGTGTGTGTGTGTGTGTGTGTGTGTGTGTGTGTGTGTGTGTGTCTCTGTGTGTGCCTAGTAGTAGAGTAGGCAACCTTTAACCTTTTTGGGGTAGTATAGTCCATATGTAAATCCCTATATCATCAAAAACGTCAACCTTTATTTCCCCATGATACCCGACAAGTATTTGTGTGTGTGTTGGTTGGTAGGTAGGTTGGTTGGTTGGGGCGAGGTGGGACGTGGTCTTCGCTTGTTGGAGGGGGAGGGTGGTGGTATTCCGGATACTATAAGTGGCGGTATAAGCAGGGTCTCTATACTTATAAACCTTTTACGGGGACCTAGAACTCCACTTGTAACTACCCATGAACCTCCAATTAGGCCCGGTAGACTTGTGGCGCACATGCCGTTCGCACCGATGCCTGTTTCTAATCCTTGTGGCCCCTGGAACATGGGGTTTCAACCATTCAAAGTTCGAGACAGGTCAGGGCAGTGGATTTCCAACTGTATTTGAGCAGTTCACAATGCAGAACCCAGCACCCTTGCAGCGTTGCAGCTGAGCAACACTGCGGCTCGCCAGGCAGTAACGACATGCTTCCGGGCCACTTGTCTGCCCTTGAGGATCATTTCATGTTGAGTATACCACTCTAAACCTTGTGCCCTGTAGCCAATAGTTTTGTGCGCAACCCGACGAGAGTCTTCAAGCCACCGAGCAAGTTCCGAATGCTCTGATACCCCCTCCCCTACACCCCGAAACCCTAAACAGACTTAACCCTAAATACCTGAGACCCTGAATATCCTAAACCCTAACCATCCCTGCAAATTGAAAGCCCAGATCTTGGGGGCTGTATAACCTCTGTGCCCTCTTCTGGCTTTCAAAAAACCCTAAACCCTGAAGCCCTGAACCCCCTTAAAGGAACCCTTATAGATACCTTTAAAGGAACACTGAAGGCCCCTTTAAAAAGCCCCTCTTCTGCCCAGGTCTTGGGCCGGTTTGGAGCCGTGAGGAGCACAAGATCCGCGTCTTGGATATCAAGCGGTCGCAGCTCGGCAACCAAGCTTCCTTTAAATTGTTCCTTCAAAGGGTTCCTTGAAGGGTTCCTTTGAAGGGTTCCTCTAAAGGGTTCCTCCAAAGGGTTCCTTTAGAGGGTTGCTGTAAAGGGTTGCTTTAAAGGGTTCCTTTACAGGGTTCCTCTAAAGGGTTCCTTTAAAGGGTTCCTTTAAAGGGTTCCTTAAAAGGGCTGCTGTCAAGGGTTCCTTTAAAGGGTTCCTCCAAAGGGTTCCTTTAGAGGGTTGCTGTAAAGGGTTGCTTTAAAGGGTTCCTTTACAGGGTTCCTCTAAAGGGTTCCTTTAAAGGGTTCCTTTAAAGGGTTCCTTAAAAGGGCTGCTGTCAAGGGTTCCTTTAAAGGGTTCCTCCAAAGGGTTCCTTTAGAGGGTTGCTGTAAAGGGTTGCTTTAAAGGGTTCCTTTACAGGGTTCCTCTAAAGGGTTCCTTTAAAGGGTTCCTTTAAAGGGTTCCTTAAAAGGGCTGCTGTCAAGGGTTCCTTTAAAGGGTTCCTCTAAAGGGTTCCTTTACAAGGGTTCCGTTAAAGGGTTGCTGTAAAGGGTTCCTTTAAAGGGTTCATTTAAAGGGTTCCTCTAAAGGGTTCCTTTAAAGGGTTCTTCTAAAGGGTTCCTCCAAAGGGTTCCTTTAGAGGGTTGCTGAAAAGGGTTCCTTGAAAGGGTTTCTTTAAAGGGTTCCTCTAAAGGGTTCCTCCAAAGGGTTCTTTTAGAGGGTTGCTGTAAAGGGTTCCTTTAAAGGCTTTCTTTAAAGGGTTCCTTTAAAGGGTTCCTCTAAAGGGTTCCTTTAAAGGGTTCCTCTAAAGGGCTCCTTTAAAGGGTTCCGTTAAAGGGTTGCTGTCAAGGGTTCCTCTAAAGGGTTCCTTTAAAAGGGTTCCTTTAGAGGGTTGCTGTAGAGGGTTCCTTTAAAGGGTTCCTTTAAAGGGTTCCTCTAAAGGGTTCCTTTAAAGGGGTGCTGTAAAGGGTTCCTTTAAAGGGCTGCTGTCAAGGGTTCCTTTAAAGGGTTCCTCTTAAGGGTTCCTTTAAAAGGGTTCCGTTAAAGGGTTGCTGTCAAGGGTTCCTCTAAAGGGTTCCTCTAAAGGGTTCCTTTAAAGTGTTCCTTGAAGGGTTACTTTATGGCTTTATGGAGATCCGTTGCTATAAAGGGTGCCTTTAAGGGTTCTATCAGGTTACCCCAAGGGCTTACTATAGGGGCCTTAGTAGTTAGAATAAGGTTTGGGGTGAGGGGGGGGTGGGGGCACAATATGAGGAAAAAAATACGCAAACGCAGCTCGGCAAACCTTAACGGTTTGGGGCACGCTTAACAAACCTTACTGCTTTAGGGTTTTTTGTACAATCATTTTACTACAATAACTCGAAGGAGGTTTTGGGCGGCAGTAGATTGCTCAGTAGATGAACATGCACACTAGTTACTATAGGGGCCTTAACCATTACTTTGGTGTATATTATACTATATGTATTAAAAGGAACCGACTCGGCAACCCGCAGGGCTTCGGGTTCCCAGAAGAGTTTCACATGTTAATGGTTTAGTCTGGAGCTGTAAATGTTTAGAGCTTAGGGTTAACCCCACTGCTTGGGTTTTAGGTTACAAGGCATTAAGCCTTCTAGTGAGCCCTAGAAAGTTGGAAGATGGGGTGGGGAAGAAACTGGTGCTGGGAGTCTCCACATGTTGCCTTAAGGGAAGGGGGATGGGCTGTTCCAACTTTCCGGTGCCTGGATGATTTAGGGTCTATGGCGGGCCATTTCAAGTCGTAAAGGCTGAGTTGAAACCAGCATGAGAGTATCCCAGGCTGTGCAGTCTGCAAAGAGCCCCAAAAACTTACCTTGGGTTAGTAGGGAATGGAGGAATGGGGTATACTTAAAACTACTATTACTACCATTCTTCCATTCCCTAGTAACCAAAGGTAAGAAAAGGGAGAACTGAGAACCCACGAGAGCTCAGGATGTCGGGGCAGGTTACGGTCCGGATTCTAAACAGTGGCAGCGGCAAGGTCCTAGCACCCCGCATGCAAAAAAAGACATTGGCGGAGGCGTTCAATTTGAGAACAGCTCAAAACGTCTAAGATACTAGCTCTCCATAAAGCCGTAGTAGAACCGTACGAAACCCTAGCAGAACCATATAAATAAAACCCGACTGGAACCACATGAGACCCTCGTAGAACCATATGAATCCCCCCCTAGTAAGAAGCGTGGGGAAGCTCAAGAGCCCTAAACCCTGAACCCCAAACCCTAATAAATCCTAAGCCCAAGAACTGCGAAGGATTGGCCTGGTCGAGGCCTTCATGTACATCTTCGTGTTCACCAGCGCCTTTTTTGGCGCTAAGTAGATTTTGTTGAATTCCCTTATTCTGGTTAAGAGAATTGTCGGTTTAGGAGGGTCTTAGTCCGAACGATTTGTTGGGCTTTAACCATTGGTTTAAGATTTTGGGGGATATTTGTACTGAAACTAGGAACCGAAAAGGCACACTGTTTCAAGTCCTGCCTTTCATCATTGATAATATATTGTTGAAGTCCGTTATTGGGTCTAACAGCATCTTATTCCCGAGGTTTAGGAGTACATCTATATATAAGAGCATGTTGTATGGTTTCCGTATTGGGTGTTAGAAAATCTTTTTCTTGAAGACATCCTAAGACTATGCTTCAGAGGTTTACGGGGCCAACCGAGGTGTGATCGTAGTGTCGAACAGCATCATCCCAACGGCCGTCTTCAAGTCGGAGGACCTGGTGCTTTGTAGAGCTTAGGGTTTAAGATTTAAACCAGTCTGGTCTAGGGGTTTAGGGTCTAGGGTTTGGGGTTTATGGAAGGGTGGAGGGTGTACGGGTGAAGTACGGTTTTGGGTTTAAGGTTTCAGTCTAAGGTAGCAAGCGGCGAGGTTCTTCAGGTGTCGCCGTATCCTGGTATGCCAAAAGACCATATCAGCTGAGGGCAGAATGGCCCCTCCACCCCTGAACCCCAAACCGTAAACCCAGGCCTGTTAAGAGGTTCTTGTGTGCAGATATGTTTCAATGGTTGTAAAGGGCAACCCAGTTATTACCCTAATCCTTGCAATTTCCGGACGCTAGCCGAAGTCGATGTAAGTCCATGAGGTCGGCTCACATACCGACTCAGAGGTGATTTAGTTGGGTGCGGTGTTTTTTAAAGTTCCGGTGAATGTTTAGGATTTGAAACGATCAGGCTATAGGGGCGGTATGGGGTTTCTATCGGGGTGCAGGACTTAGGGTGTAATAGGGAAGTTGTTTGAAAGGTTAGGGTTCATAAGGACAGAAACTCTGCGTTTCAACAACTCAAATTTCTAACCCTTCGACCAAAGGTCCAAAGACTTGAAAATTCCATAATGGTCCCTTTTGAGGTGCTGCACGTTGTGTTTGTTCTTCCGAAATCCTGAGTCCTTGCTTAAGTAGCCTATCACGATCGGGGTTTATGGTAGGTAATCTGGCTTCCTTTTCATAGTTACTGTAATTGCGTTCCTCATCAAGAACCCAGTCTTCCACCCCGAAAATCACAAGCCGGAAGGACGGTTACTGCCACACCAACCCCGACTCTCGGCTGAAGACTCGGGGTTGTCGATCACTTCGGGGCCAAGTGGGTTCTTGTTAGGGGATTTAAGTTGCGATACCTCACTAACAGTAAAGAAACCATATTATTTACCATACATCCCCATTATGGTAACTTAAATCTTAGCCAAGCACAATTTTTTACTCCTTTGCCCTTTGTGTTGTGGGGTCTCAACCCTAAGCCCTTAAGCTTTCAAAACCGAGTAGTAGCAAAAGGAGTAGCCCCTTATTATTACGGGCGACGGGCATGGTCTCGTATTGTAGGTCCTCGGTCTGGTTTGGAGGGTTTAGCGCTTTTGGGTTTAGGGTTTACTGAAAGCTTAGTGGCTTGGGGTTCCGGGTTTGGGTTTAGAGTGTTTTTTGGTTGAGGGGAACTTCTCCAGAGGCCTCGTGCACTCTGCCAACATTCAGAAGCCCCGGCGAAAAATGTCCAGGGTCGGATGAAGTTTTCAGAGAGCCCGGTACCAATGAATCAAGGAATGTAGCTTGAGTCGTAATTCGAAGCCCCCTCATAATTCTAGGTGTGTTCCTGAATTAAGCGGTATTGGGCTCGGATATCAAGAGCCTATTACCATGAATCAGGCCTCCATCAAAGACTAAGATGTAGAGGTGCAAGACCTATCCCTGCGAATCTAAGAACCGCAGGGTCACGGTTTAGGGCACCTAAAATCTGAAAACCTAAAGAACCCCTATCTGGGCAGGTCTATCCAAAAAGCATGGGCACGACGATGGTGATTCTGCAGGCTGCTCATGGGTGCGGGGCCTTCCAAAGAAGGGCCTTATAACTTAGATAGCCAATGGAAGAACTTTAACATTTTGAGCCTTCTATATGTGGTCTATCTTACAAAAGTTTGAAGCTTATTCAAACCCGCTTTGGAAGAATACAGAATGATTCGCATAGGGTTTTGTTAGTCTCCTTTAAGGGTTCTACAACAGTTTGTTTTAAGGCTTTACTGGGTCTTAGTATAGGGGTGATAAGCGACGACAAGGGCAGCTCATGATTTCATATTCAGACCTCTACATTAAATCCATTCAGCGACGCCCGACGCTGTGAAACCCACTAAGCCCCAAACCCGTCATTGATTGGAGGTTCATGTGTAGTTATAAGTGGGGTGATAAGGCCCTTACATATGGGTAAAAACTATGGTTGCCCTACTTATAACCGTACTTATAACTACCCTAAACCCTAATCCCTAAACCCTATAAACCCTATAAATCCCCTTACACAAGAACCCTACTTATAACCCTGCTCATAACTACCCATGAACCAGCAAGTAGAATTGCGCCAGCCTAGATCGCACAGAGTGAATGGCCACTGAAACACTGGAAGACCACGGCAGGGCCACATCCCCAGCTGCAATCCCATCCCCCAATGCCTGCAGCTACAAGCAGCATCCCCAGACCATCCATACTGCTGATGAACCAAAAACCTGCAGGTTTTGGATTTCAACTCTGGCAAGTATGCTTGTATTCGCCAGTACACGTTATTGATAAAGCAGGGCTTTGCCCATAAAAGAGTAGGTCCTGTCGACGTTCATTGGCTCCGCCGGCTTTAGCTGCTTGTCTGCACAGACCTGTGAAAGCGGCGAAGGATTAGGCTATTTTCTTCGAAGCCATGTGGGTAGGGCTTTTAGGGTTTAGGCCTCAGGCCTTTTCACTTTGGGTTCATATAGTATTATGGAATACTGTCAGAATCAGCAGTTGAGCCTTGTTTGGGCTCAGGAAGTCAATGGAAGTCATCAACTAATTAATCCCGAACCCTAAACCTTTCAGTCCGGATTTCGAGTTTATTGAGCACCTGCTATGTATCGGAAACCTGCCTATTCTAGCAATTTTATGGTTTAGCGTTCTAACCATTGTTCGTATAGTGTCCTTCTAAGCGGTCGTAGAAATCAGTAAATGTCACTGGAGTTTGTTGGCAGTTGGGGCGGGAGGCTATTCGTCTTGATGAGCTTCCACTGGCCTGCTGGTAGATCGCATGCGGGAGGATTTGAAGCCTAGTTTTGCCGAGACAGAGAGAGAGAGAGAGAGAGAGAGAGAGATCCTAAACCACACACCTCAAAACTCCAGTCCCCGAACCGCAATGTCTCCATGTAGAGTCGAGTGAGGCTTTCGGGTGCGTGGAGACCTTCGTATCTACGGCGATTTCACTAGGTCAGTAGGTGTTATGAACCATAAGTGCTGTACTCTCCGAGACTGCAAGCACAAAACACAGTCTTGGAGATCCACATACCAGGAAGCACAAAAAATTGCCCTCAGAACTGGTCCAGCGGTTTAGTACTTAGGATGTAAGTTGTGCTGGGTTCGAGGTTTGGGGCTTATCGGGTCTACGAGCTAGGATGTAAGCTTGACGGCAAGGTGAGGGGCGTCTTGAAAACGATGGTCCCTTGGAAGATTCCTATTTCTGCTGAGGCCTCTTCCTGAACAAATCCCACGTCACCCCAACCCCTAAGGCAAAGTAAACTCATATAGGACCCTTACTGAACCCATGGCAGTACACTCAGAACCCGTAACTGTCTTTGCCACTCTCGGATGCAGAGGAGGTTAAGCCCGACACAGCACTAAAACCCTCAACCCTAAACCCGGAAGAACCCTACAGTAGAAGCCCAAAAGCTGGGAACCCAATAGCAATGTATAGGGAACCCCAGCACCATTTGGCCTTGATCCGGTTTCCAACTTTAAGGGGTTTACTGTAAAGTGCCCAGTCCTTCTGTGCGAAGGTATCATCTCTGCGGCCGCACATCACTCGCCTCAAGATTGCACACGGTAGCCCGGGTAGCCCCAATGGGCCTTCACAAATACAGAAAACTTAGTAGCTGAGTGGATACACTGTACACTTTTCCGGGATAATACTACCCACTAAAAATCTGAAAGTCTACGCTTTGTTTGTGGATAATCTGAACTTGGCGTTCTTCTGGTTGGCTCTTTAGACTTTAACTTTTGGGTTTCTATATGAACTGTAATAAGGAGGATAAAGGTTTTTAACTTGTAGGAGGGGTTCAGAAGTCAGCCAAGTGAAAGTCTACACTTTTTTTTGTGAGGGGGCCGGGGGGGGGAGGGGGGCTTATATGAATTTAGCAACTAAGGAAGAGGAGCTCAAACGAAACGAAGAAAACCTTGCCCTGAACTCCCAAGACCCCAAATTAGGATGTCTAGCATCAACCATGGTGTTGAGAATGTAAATCCTGCATTACCCTAATGACCCTAAACCGTAGGATTTTGTGGTACATTCCTTATCATGTGTAATGTAGGGTTTATCATCAATCCCTGCCTCTCTGTGCCTGAAGGCCCCAGACTCCAAAGCTTATCAAGGTAGGCTGGTGGGATCTCTGATGTTTCCTTTCAGGGCTTACAATAATAAGGGTTATTATACAGGGTTATGATGAGGGCTACGGGAGGGCTACGGTAAGGTGTTTCGTAGTGCAACGAACCCACAGACTTGAGGGGGCTGCTTGTTAGAAATATGCATAATATACCCCCAGTCCCTGGTCGAATTATTAAGGCCCTTATAGTAGATTTACAGAGCATCGGTCTTTCAAAGAGACCTCCCTTGAGCCTCCAGCTTGGGGCCCCTCCGTCAGGAAGCCGGAACTTTCCTACTACAATGGCTTAAATAGTTATCTTTACTATTTTGGGGGTTCCTCAGTATAGTTCTAGTATAATATACCCCAAACCCTAGTCTAATTGTTAAGGCCGCTATGTTTCTGTACTCCGTCCATACTTCAAGGATCAAGGAACCGGGAACTAGAAAGTAGGGCTATGACTGTGGTGATGACACTTCTAGCACTTACAGCACGCATCACCAACCCCGAAACCTCTTTAGATGTTGGAGGTTAGTGTTTAGGGTGTTGTTTAGGGGGCCGAAAACCACTACACCTGCGTTCGGGGATTAAGCACTTACGATCGTGAATCGTGACCCACGTCCGCTCTGAAAGGTTTACGAAGCTTGATGAAGATGGGGAATACAACTTCCAGAAGAAAGCGTGGGCAGCCTTCTTTTTTCTGCAGCTTCCCTTGTTGAAGGCCTGGCAGAACATTGCACGTTGACGAATGTTTCGCGGGGGCTCGATTCGGTGACTTCAGTGGTTCCGGAATTTTCATTGGGAGGCCGCAATCTGTCCATGTTGCTTGAACAGCACAAGCTAAGCGCAGATCGGAGCTTTTCAGCTCAGTTCCTGCTGCCTCATTATCACGCTGTCAACTCGTCGGCAACAGAAAAATTCTAAAATGCACGGGTTCGAATTCGCACTGATGGAGTAATATAGGGGCCTTAATCTTTGCGTATACTATTTTCGAGGTTCCTTGTTATGATTAAAGTATAATGGGACCCAAAACCCTATTGTAATCATTAAGGCCCCTATGTATGAGCATTCAATGATGTCAAAGTTCTACGGAAGAAAGCCTGTCCCGAAGATGCATGGTTTACCAGGGCCAGACGACGACACAACGATCTCCGCGTGTGTGCATGTGTGTGTACATAGACACACATAGGTGTATTTCAATTAGATAGGCAGACAGATGTAAGCCCACGGTGACCCCATTCGACGAAGCTCTTCTCCATGCGATCAACGTCTCTCACAGAAGACGTTTCTTGGCACACACAGCGCCAATCCCTATCAAGACTGAGAAATTACGCGTGTAGAGAAGAGGAATGGGTCTCGCCACCACTACACCCAGTCTAGAGACACTGTCTGTTGAAACACGTTTCGGAGCAGTGGGATGTAGACTTCGTCCTCAGAGACCCCACGCTCCCTGGAGCCCAAACCCAGAATCCTAAACCAACACTAAACGCATCGAAGCCGAAACCCTTCACCCCAAACCCTAAACCATAAGCCTTAAAGCCCGTAATCCTAAACCTCCCTGACCGGACGAACGACTTCTGCCCGGATCTGCAAATGAGGTCGTCCTTTCCTACATCCCCATGGCCCTGCCGGCATCTAATGGTCTCAGCCGCCTGGCAGACAGGGGTTCTTTGGGCTGTACTTGGAAGGGCAGGGGACTTAGTAAGTCGGTTATAAGTAGGGTTAAAATTGGGGTAACTCCATTTAGGGTACTTATAACTCTACTTATGGCCTACTTACTAAGTCCCCTGCCCTTCCAAGTAGGTCTAGGGATGCGTGCTCTTGGGTAAGGGGTCCAGAACTGGGGCGAATCGCCTCTGGCTTGACAACTAGACTAGGGTTTTGTGTGTAGAAGATTTTGGCAAAGACGTTCCTTAGTAGTTTTTTGCAAACAGGATGAGAAGTAGGAAGTCGATATGTCCGGATATGAAGTGGGTTGTTTCTCTAAAGCTCCACCTCCTCCCTCCGCCTGCTGATCCTCCTCATCCTCATCGACGCGATAGTTTCCACAAGCATCGATTCTTTTTGGCAGCATTAGTCTCATTGCTGCTAGTTCTGAAGTTCTCTTATGACTACTATAGCAGTTTTTGCGACCTCCATGTACGAACATTGTTGTTCTCACTAGCACTGCCTTTGCCAGCAATATCAGTGTCTCCATCACAAGGGTTATGACTCCTACTCTTGTCAGTGCTATTTGCCGGTGTAACTATCACTGCCAAAACGACTGCCATTGCTGCTTCATACCCAGATCATACCACTGCTTGTTCTGTGTGCTGTTAACCAAAAATCCTTTGCTTCACGGCCTGATCCTGAAATAATAATCCGTGATAAGGCTAAGGCAGGAAGGTTTATGACCGTTGCCCCTGCTATACAGAGTTTTCAATCAATAGTACTGATACTCCCTACGATCACTATAGAACTATGTTTTGACTCGTCTGAATCATTGTACATGATGCTGCCACACACATGTGCAACATAGTAAACCCACACTCAAGCAGGGTGTTTGTGGTTTTGGTGCTTCAGGTGTTGGTGCTCTCAGAAGTGTATGTGCAGCTTTCAGTATTTCTACAAGCGTTGTGGCTGCTATCCTTATCCCCCCAAAGCCCTGAAAGACGAAATGACACTTAAAAGCAGGGGCCCTATACCCTTATACTATGAACCCCTATATAGTATATGAGCCTTACACCCTTTTAGGGTTCAATTCCCTCAAAAGCGGGCGCAATTTCTAACAGAGGCCCCATATGTTGCGGAAAAAACTGCCGTTGTTGTTCCTTGGGGCTCCTTCTGGTACGTATACGTTAATACTCCCCAACATCCTACTTAAATTTAAAAGGCCCTTTACTGAATCCTTACAATTACTAGTCTCTGTAGAGCCCTTGTACTAAGCTCTATGGTATAAGCCTTCATGCAAGCCTGCTCAAATTATGAACGCTCTAAACCCTAGTCCAGAGGCCGTAAACCCTAATTCAAGATATTCTCGAATGTTCCCCAAAACCCTATTTAAACAAAGAAGACACTCGATGACAGGCATTCCGACAGCCGTGACAGTGTCGACTCAGCAGCTGCCAGATGGAAAGTTCACCACCAGCACGACTCTCAGCTCGGGGCTCTTAGATGTTGTAGGGTCTTTTTGTTAGGGGCTTTGGGTGTGCTAGTGGTGTGATGCTTTGCGTCGTTGGTGTTTGTTTTTGGGTTCTAGGTTACAGGTTCACTTGCTGAAAGGATCCATGACCCTCCAAGTGGCAGGGAACCCCGAAAAAAATGACAGCCCCATGGAGGGTTTGGGTCGAGCTTTTGTGCTGCGTATACTGCTGAGCTTCGGGAGCGCATGAAAGGCAAGTAAAGCCATCCTGGCCGGGGTAGGAAAGCTTTTTTCCCTAATTCCCAAAGGGGTTTGGGATTTAGGGGCCTAAATAATTACAATCATACTGTAATCATACTACTTTGGGTGCTCCTTATTACAATTTATAGCATAAAGGAGCCCGAAAAGCCTATTCTAATTGTTAAGGTCCCGACAGTAAATCCCGAACCTTGAAGCCTAGCAGATGGTTCCTTATTATAAGTAGAGTATAATATACCCCAATACCATATTCTAACTATTAAGGCCTCTATATGGGAGTTTCCGAAATAAGGCATCCCTAATTTTCGCAAACTCCCATATTAGGGTTTAGTAAACCTGGAAGCCTCGAAGATTCGTAGAAGATTCGTGGCATATTCTTGCAAATCTGGGATGCCCAGTAGTACCCTAGGTTCCTTATAAAGTTACCCAATACCAAAAAGGGAGCCCTTTTTCTTCCTAGGTTACTGGGCGTCCTAGTACGTAAGGTTTAGGGTTCCTTTTAATAAGGGTACTATAGGGTTCTATAACAGGGCCCCTTAAAGGGATCTATAGGGGTTCCATCTTCCGAAAGAGCGGTGAATGTTATAATTAAGATAACTATACTTATAATTACTTATAACCCAATTAAGGTACTTATAACCATACTTACTAAGTCCCATGATCCTCTAAGTAGAAATGGCGAAGCCAGGTGGGGAAATGATCTCCTGCCCGATCTTTGACCAGGAGGTCTGCGTCCCCATGCTTTACAACTGCCTCCAGGACTTAACATCCTACGGTTGATGATATTAATCCTGCATTACCCATAATATGGAATATTAATGCCATAACTCCCATAGTTTAGCCTCCAGGACTTAAATGGGAGTTTCCGAAAGTAGGGGTACCTTCTTTTGGGGGTCCTTATAATAAGGAGCCCACTATTTAGGGTACTATATTAGGGTTCCGTGTTTTCGGAAACTCCCAAATCCTAGCAAGTTAAGGGCCTGAGGTTGAGTGATATAGGGGTTGGAATAACTGCCACCATCATTCCTTGAGGGTTCTGCTTTACTTAGTAGCTGAGTGGATACACTTTACACTTTTTGGGATAATATTACCCACTAGGAAACTGAAAATGTAGACTTTTGGGGGCTTATGAACTCAGCAACTAAGATTAAAACTATACTGTAATGTACCTCGCAACACTGATCCATGAAGGACCCCCATACGCGGACCTGAGGCTGAGTATCTGCCGAACTTGACCGTATAGGTAGTTGTCAAAATTATGGCACCTTTTTGGGGTACCCTAACTAATAGGTGCCGTATTATAATGGGGACCCAAAGGGACCATGATTTTGACAACCACCCATATAGTACACCCCTTTAGGCCTACTTGGAGGTTCATGGGTAGTGATAAGTAGGGGTTATAAGTAGGGTAACTGTCTTTATATCCCATATATACTACGATGTATACACTACATAGGCCTTGCTTTGTTGAGGGGTCAGAACTCTTCATTAGCGTATTTGCCTCCCCTCGAGCCTTACGCAAAAGAGGACCTCGAACTAAACTGCAATGCGTTGCTCTTGGGTTGGCCCTTAAACGAGAAGCTTGAAGCTGTCGACCTACAGTGGATTCAACTCCCCCTTAGGGTTTATGGTTTAGTGTTCTGAACCCCACATCAGACCCCGGCAAAATCCGCGCGGTTTGACCCAATGGAAGCCCATCCAAGGTTTGGTGACCGTCGCGATGGCATACTTGTCCTACTGGCAGTTCCGGCGTGGGAACCCGGCACTGTCAGACATAACTACCTGGGAGGTTGTCAAAATTTAAGTCCCTTCGGGGGTCCCTATTATAATACGGCACTTATTATTTAGGGTACCCAAAAAGGGACCTTAATTTTGACAGCTACACACCCGGTAACGGCCACAAGGAAAGAAGTGGCTCTAAGTAGTTTGGACGGTCATCATCATCATCAGCAGCAGCAGCTGTTGCACAACCATCTGCTTGTGGGTATGTAAGTATCTTTGTATGTATGCATGTATGTATGTATGCATGTACATATGTAGTTATGTCTGTCTGTAGGTTGCTTGTAGATTGGCATTTGTGTATTTATGCCTGTTCATGTATCTGTATGTGTGTACGTATGTGCAAATGTATGTATGTATGTATGTATGTATGTATGTACGTATAGATGTATAGATGTATGCATGTACCCATACACGTATATACACCTGCAAATCAGTACATGGTCACGTATTTTTGCAGAGGCGAATATGTACACACACACATATGTATTGTTGTGTGTACTGCACTTCCAAGCATTTGTGTGTGTGTGCAAGCATCTGATGATGACGTGTATCACAAAACGGTGGAACACACAGTAGTACATGTACTGGGCGATAAAATAGAACGAGTGTACTAGTGGCTAGTACAGTATTTGGAGATTCATGGGTAGTTATAAATAGTGTTGTAAGTAGGGTAACTATACTCCCCATTTATAACTCCAAGTACTAGTGGCTAGTAGCAAGGCTAGTAGCAATCACAGACAGCATGTCTGCAGGCTGGAGGGACCTTCCAACCACCAGGCAATCTGGAGTGGAGTCCTAAATTAACTCCTAATGTACGAACCTGATGAAGAAACCTTGGGTCCTTATTAGGGTTCCTTATATGAATCCTTATTTTGAGTTTGGGGTTACAGGCCCAGGATTTCTTAATCAGATTCCTACATTAGCGCCCTTAGCCTCAAACCTTGAGTTATGCAAACCCTGCAGAAGCCGGATTTCCAGCACGTAGCCCAAATGAACAGGTTCGTAAAATGGCCCTAAACCCTAAACCCTAAACACCCTTCACGTTCTTGAAACCCTGGCCCCGACAGCCTCCACCCTATCCCAACCCTGAAGTTCTCTGAACCGTCAACCCTAAGCAATAAACTTTAAACCGTGGCTCCTAGCATAGCCAGATATGGGAGTTTTCGAAAATCGGGGACCCTAATATAATACCCTAAATAGTAGGATCCTTGTTATAAGGGCCCCAGAATAAGGTACCCCTAATTTTTGGAAACCCCCTTTGATGCTGAGGATCTACAAGCCTGGGCAGACCTTCGATGGCCGAGACCTCAGGGCAATTCTTTCAAATCAGGAGTTTAGATTAGGTTGCAGCCAGGGCTCGTTTAGAAAAGAGTTCGAGTGCTACCTGGGGTTTTAACGGTGGTTTTACCTAGGTAGGCCTTGGGGACATTTTGTATTTTCCCTTATTGGGCTTAGTAGGATCCTATTTACGAATATTTTTCAGAGGCTTTAAGGGGCCAACCTAGTTACAGGGTTCCCAGATGGAGTTGTTAAGCTTCTTTGGTGTGCGCTTCTGGCCCTGGGGTTCACTTGGAAGGGCAGGGGACTTAGTAAGTAGGGTTATAAGTACCCTAAATGCAGTTATCCGAATTATAACCCTACTTATAACCTACTTACTAAGTCCCCTGCCCTTCCAAGCAGGGGTCTAGGGGTTAGAGTTTAGCAGGAGATTAACAATTGTCATCTGGGGGTTTCCGAAAATAGGGGTACCTTATTTTTGGGTGTCCTTAAAATAAGGACCCTACTATTTAGGCTACTATATTAGGGTCCCCTATTTTCGGAGACTCCCATCTCCTTAAATCCAACCCTAAGGCCTTCGAGATCGCCGGATGCGCTTCGAAAACCCTACGCCCTACTTAGAGGATCATGGGGCTTAGTAACTATGGCTATAATTAAGCTAGGTCACACGCGCGTGAGGCGCCTGGCTACTTTCAAGGGTGTCAATGTGCTTATTTCCCAGGCATTTTATTGATACCTCAGCTAACTTACAACACGAAATGCTGTTTTTTGGGTGTGGTTTTCTCTTGTCTTAGACACTTTGAACCCGAAAGACGCGGACTTTGTGCTGCAACTGACTCTTGAACAAAACTCAGAAGGAAAGCAGCTCAGCGTATCCGCCATTCGCCGAAGAAGAACATGATGACGATGATCGTGATGGTGATATTCCTATGTTGATCATACTCTGCCTTAGGATTGTGGGTTTCTTTATAGCTCTGGTGCCCGTGCAAGCGGGTTACGGGCAGTCGCCATGTACAACATCCTCATCATCCAGCACCACCATCCGCATGCAGCAGCAGCAGCAGCTGCTGCATGCAAACGATGCAAACATCATGCTGAGGCAGCAGCACCATCCCGAGTCAAACATCACGCAGCAGCACCATCTCCATGCAAAGAGCATGCAGCAGAGGCAGCAGCATGCATCCATGAGAAGAGGAATATGACGACGGACTAGCAAAGTATATGTTGAAACAAGGCTGATATCAAGAACGTTAAACAAAGAACGTTATCATCCCCCCGCCCCCCTTGCCCCAGCAGCGGCATTACCAAGCCCAAAAGGTAGGCACAGCTATCCCCCCATGTGTAGAAACTTGAAATCTTGGTCTGTAGATGCATACGAGGCCACAGGTCGTTCTTAACCCCCCCCCCCTCCACCCCCTCCCCCCGAGCCCAGGTCGTTAAGTGCACGATATATCGTGGCGCCTGGTGCGCGTGTAACCAACTATATTCATAACCCAATTAAGATACTTATAACCACACTTACTAAGTCCCGTGATCCTCCACTAGGACCCGGAGTAGGCCCTTATTCCCTTTTTGTAGGGTTTAGGTTCCCTTATAACCCCCTTTAAACCAAAAAGGGCACCCTTTTTATTCCTAGGTTACTCTTAGGTCTAGTCCAAGTAGCGTCTAGATTCACAAAAGCACTTCCAGGATCTCCCCTACACTGAATCTTGGAGGTTCATGGGTAGTTATAAGTTTGGTTACCCTGATATTTAGGGTTTAGGGTTTTGGGTTTTGGGTTTAGGGTTTAGGGTAGTTATAAGTTTGGTTACCCTACTATTTAGGGTTTTGGGTTTTGGGTTTTGGGTTTAGGGTAGTTATAAGTTTGGTTACCCTAATATTTAGGGTTTTGGGTTTTGGGTTTAGGGTTTTGGGTTTAGGGTTTAGGGTAGTTATAAGTTTGGTTACCCTACTTATAACCGCACTTATCGCCGCCCATGAACCTCCAAGAGCACCACCGAGATCTCCGAATGCGCTTCATCAAAGTCTACGGCGAGATCCCTTTGCCGGTGAAGGAGGACTCCTCCTCCGAGACTCGCCTGAAACAAATAGAATAATGGGTTCCCTTGGTTCTGTGGTTCAGGGGCCTTAAAAATTGGAATATCGGTTCCTTTCAATGGCTCCTTCAAGGGATCTATAAGAGTACTACATTCTAGGACTCCTCCTCCGAGACTTGGCGCAACTCAGAGCTCCGGGGCTGCTTGAACTCGGGAACACCCCAAAAGCACCCAAACATAAACTTTTGGGTGGGATATCCTGCCCTTCTCGGCCTCCGCCTCGTCCTCCCCTCTCCTTCGCTACAGCTCCTGCTTCCGCTATGGCTCCTGCTATTGCTACCGCTGCTGCCTCTGCTCCTCGTACTGGTACTAGTACTGCCACTGCTCCTGCTGCTGCCGCTGCTACTGCTGCTGCTACCGCGACCACGACCACGACCACTACTGCTATTAATAATAATGGTAATAATAATAATATTAATATTCATAATAGTAATACACATCACGCTACGTCTCCTGTTATCAGTGCTTCTGCTGCTGCCAAAGTATTGTTTGAGTTGTCAAGTTCTTAACGGCCCCCGTATAGAGGATTTGTGTTGAGGTTCTGCCCATCTTGGCCTCAGGAAGAGGACGATGAAGAGGAGGACGATGATGAGAATGCCTTGTGCTGATGGCCTGCTTTTGCAGACGTCGCACTTTTAAATCGCTTGTTTTCCAATGCTTGCTTCGCCCGGCCCGCCGTGCGACTTTTGACCGCTTCGAGCCTCCAGCAAGAGGTTGCACTCTGGCTGGTGTGCCGCAGGAGCAAGAGCTCACCAATTAGGTTAACTGTATGATTTGTCATGCAAGCTCCCAGGATCAATACACGAGGATGTCAGACACGCAGCATATTCTCACAAGTCTAGCTGTCTAGCAAGTGAAGAGTGTCAGGTGTATTGATTTTGGGAAAGTCGATTTCGATTAACAGATTGCCAGCGGTCACGAAATTGTTGTATAAACCCCCACACTGACATCCTTATAAAAACCCTTACGGCTCGCTTTGGAATCCAATGTATAGAACTCTTGAAAACGCCTGAAAAATATGTTCAACCTTTCTACAAAAAACTCCTGTAAACCCGTTACAAAGCCGTGCAAACCCTCTTAACACGCTATGAACCCTAAACCCTGAACACAGAATACGGGTGCTTACCACTTAAAACACCCCTGTGAGATTTATTAAGGCACCTGTATGACCACACTACAATGTACCTTAGAGGACCCATGTAACCTTGTCACACACACCCCGAAACCCTATTCCAGTTATGAACGCCCCCCGCCCCCTACACTTGTGACAGCCTCCGTATGTTGCCCCCTTGATAGACAGACCCTTTTGAAGAATCTTACTCAGGCAAATTAAACCCTTCAGGTTTATCGAGCCCTTGAAGACCCGCCTTAAAGAAGAACCCTACCCTTGGCATGTGTAACAAGAAAATAGAATGGCCCCATTTATAGACCCCTTTAAAGTCCCCGGGTCGACTTAATATAAAAAGGCCTTAATAAGTAGAACAGGTTTGTGCGGGTATGCTATACCATAATTATCCTAAGGAGCCTCCAAAACCCTATTTTAATCATTGAGGCCCCTACATTACTAAAGCCCCTGAGGTTGCCTTATAGATCCCTTAAAGGAACCCTTGGTCCTAGGTATCCCTTAATTCAGGGATATTGGAGTCTCCGGGGCCAAACCCTAAACCCTAAACCCCTGAACCCTAATCCCTGAAACACTAAATCCCTAAACCCTAAAACCCTAAACCAAAACCCCTCAACCCCTTATTGGAGTCTCCAAAGCCCCTGAAGAAGGAACCCCTGCAACCCTGTTCTAACTACTCAGGCCCCCAAGCCCCTGAACCTGAACCCTACATTACTAAAGCCCCTGAGATTGGCTAACCTTTGATATTGGAGGAGCTAAGGGGCCAGGGATGATGATAACCCCTAGTGAAGAAGGAGCTAAAGAGCCCAGGGAACCCCCAAACCACTGGTTAGTTGCCATACCAATATTGCGCCTGCTTTAAGGCCAAAGTATATACTATTTGGCTGCATGGGGACCCTCAGGGTGGTCGACCTACTAAAGCCCCATGAGATCCCTTATAGAGGTCCCTTAACCCTAAACCCCTAGCCCTAAAACCCTAAACCCTAAACCAAGCCCCTCAAGTCCTATGGGAGTCTCTAAAGCTCCATGAGATTGCCATCTAACTATTCATGAACCCTAAACCCACAAACTCTAATCCCAAAACCCCTTACTAAAGCCTCCTGAGATTGCCTTACAGATCCATTAAAGGAACCCCCTAAACCCTAAACCCTACACTACTAATTCAGCCCCCTGAGATTGCCATCTTGCATGGCCGTGATCAACTCCATGCTCCTCGTCTTGGCAGTGGGGAGGCTCCCCTGGGCAGAAACTGGGAGGGGGGGGGGGGGGGGGGTTAGGGCGCTCTAGGGTTCTATAAGGTTTAGGTGGTTTAGGGTGTAGGGCTTTAGGTTTCTATAACGAGTTTAAGGGTCTTTTTGATGTTTCGATATAAGGGTCTCTTTAAGGGTTGTACAAGGAGCCTATAAGGGGTTTAAGGTTTAGGGTTCTTTAAGAGTTCTCTTTCAGGGTTCCTGAGAAGGATTAAGCGTATGGTTTAGGGAAATTAGGCACTTTGATGGTGTAAAGGGTTTAAGGTTTGGACATCTAGAACTAAGGATTGCTTCATCTGCCTCATACGTTTGATATCCTGAGTTGTTATCTCGAGCATGTATGGACGCTGGGTCTGCGTCTGCTGCTGCCGCTGCTGCTGCTACTATGTTGCTTGTCGGCTTTAGAAAAAAAGCCCTTAGAGTCGTGTAAATAAAGCTATGCAATGATACCCCAGAAAACCTTGTTCACACCATTAAGGCCCCTTGCATAGAGGCATAAATAAGTACCGACAGTGTTTCTTTGGGCTCCCTGTTATTATTACCATAGTAGAACATACCCCACCCCCCCTATTCTGACTATTCCCGCCCCTTGTTCAAGCTCTCTGCTTCACAGGCCTTTCGAAAAGCTTGCAGCCCCTCGTTGCCTGGCCGGCATGCTTATTGAGTCAGGAACCAAAATGGGAGTTTCCGAAAATAGGGGACCCTCATATACTACCTCAAATAGTAGGATCCTTAGAAAGGACCCCAAAGTAAGGTACCCCTAATTTTCGGAAACTCCCAAATCATGAACTCTTGGGTGGGACATCGCTGCCTTGTTGCTTTGTCTAGGAAGGGATTATGGGATATTTGGGGGGGGGGAGGGGTCCTTATTACCTGGGCTGTGGAGTACCATACTTTAATACTTTTTTTTAAAGGAACCAAAATGAAATAACAGATTATACTTTTTTCCCTGGCTACTTAAAAGCCCAGTCATATTTATAGTTTAATATATATATATATATACCAAGACCCTATTCTGATTATCCCAACCCTTGGGCTTTCTTCAGGTACTCGTGTGCGTCACTATGTGGGTGGTTGTCAAAATGTTGCTCCCTTTTTGGGTCCCCATTATAATACGGCACCTATTGTTTAGGGTGCCCAAAAAAGGGGACCTTAATTTTGACAACTACCCATGTGAGATCCGATCGCTAGACACCTGATTATAATGACCTGTACCCTAATCTTATACCTGGACCCTAAGGAACCTACCTTTTTTAGGGTTCCCTTGTATGATTTCTTTATATGAGTCCTTAAAAAGGTAGGTTACGTGGGCTTAAGGTAAGCCCCCATCCTTTTCAAGGTCATGGCTCGGTTCTCCTGTTGCGGCTTGTGGCGAATACAGCCTAGATTAATATGGGAGTTTCCGAAAATTAGGGGGTGCCTTTTTTGGGTGGTCCTTATAATAAGCCTCTTATTTAGGGTACTATATTAGGGTCCTGTATTTTCGGAAACTCCCATATGTTGGCTAGTATGGGCCTTCCGCCGTGCTGCCATCAAGTGCCCAAAACTGGAGGAGCTTGTAGGTGCGTTGAGGGCATGGGCTTACCGTAACACCCTGCCTCAGCACTCAACCAGCACTAACCGAAACCCCTGAACCCCTAAACCCCTGTTTAGGGTTCAGGGGTTTAAGGTTTAGGGGCTTAGGGGTTAAGGGTTTACGGTTTAAACCCCGAACTCGAAGCCCCTAAACCCGAAAGCCCTGAAAGCAATCGTTTGAAAGGCCCTGCGGCTTGCAGGGCTCAAACCTGATGCCCGGATTGAGGGTAAAACAAGCGCTTGAGCAATCAAAAATGACATCACCCGGTAGTACACCCCCCAAAACGCTTGGCGGTCAGAATGATTGGTAAAATCCTTGCACAGCCCCGACACACACATAGTACTGCTACGAAATCCTGTTGAACCCTATAAAAGAAGCCTTCGAATAGCAACCCTGTGAGGCCTTATGATGTCTCCTAGTAGCCCATGCAACCCCCGTTACCTCAAGAAGCCCCACAAAACCTCATGAAGTCTTACAACACCCTACTGAACTCCTAGACATTCCTAAACTCTACACCCTAGGAAGCCCCGGAAACCCATATGAATACGGCCTTGCATTATCAGAAATGTTAGAACCATAGAACCTTGCACAGATTTAAAAGAACCAATTCACCGTTAAAATGCTCTACGAAACTCGAAAAATGTGAAATGCTAGATATATAACCCGTATGAATCCCTCTAAGGCCATGCGAAGCCCAGAACCCTCTTCAGCCCAAATGAAGCTTCATATTCCCCTATGAAACCCAAAGAGCTATAAAACGCTAGAAAGCCTTACGAAGCTTTATGGCGCCCTGGAAAACCTTGAACCCCGTAGAAGGCCTAGTAAGCCATAAAACCTCATAAGACCACTATGAAATCCAACCAAAGCCCTAGAAAGCTTCATGAAGTCTGACAACACCACCACGAAACCCTAGAAGACCACGTGAAGCCCTGCTACCCCCAGTACCCTATGAAGCCTCAAACCCGAAGCCCCAAACCCTAAACCCAAAACCCAAACCCAAAACCCCAAACCCAAAGCCCCAAGCCCGAAACCCCAAAACCTAAACCCCAGACCCAAAAGCCTAAACCCCAAACCCTAAACCCTAAACCCCAGAGAGCCAGGGATCTTCAAACCCCGATCTCACCCGTCTCCGGGGCGCGGGCCTGGATGCTAAATGCCAGCCTCAGCTCCAGCCTCAGCACGGTTAGGGTTTAGGGTTTGCGTTTGGGGTTTAGGGTCACCTCCGTCTTCGGGGTGGTAGGGGCTCTAATCCCCAAAAGTTGTACACGGAACTAAGGACAATTAGTGCTGGGATTTCCCATACGTGACTTTTAAAGATTGAGACTGTTCTCTGTGTCCTGATCACTAGCGAAATTCATAGTACAGGCCGTCGGAGTTTTGCTATTCTGAAGAAGTCAGTTTTGTGGGGTATCGACGGCATTCACATCGCTGGCTTCCGTGTCCCATCCGGTCCCCAGTAGCGCTAGATGATTAGCTCTCGTCGACCTTTCCCGAGAAGGGCCAGATCCGATTATTCCACAAGACCGACATCGTCTACCTCCCAGCATCTGCAAATTGATGCGGAGTCATCCGAAGTTCTGGCGTTGGCGTTGCTTCGCACGGTTTCCAACTTTTGGGCTTCTACTGTAGGCGGGTGTTGACTTTTTGCGCGTAGGGTTT